TTTTCTGCGGTATCAATGATGCGCGTCTTATGTGCACTAGAATCTGTCCTTGTTGACGAGAGAAAAACTTTGGACAAACCACTCCAGGTATTATTAGACACAGGCACGCCCCTATGTCACTTGTCATCAGATTTGTTCAAGTTTATTGTGACTAGAGTCCAGGAGCTAATGAGATATAGATTCACATTAGTTAAATATGACCCACTTCTATGCTACAAAGTGGATGCTCAAGAAATACCTGATCAGATTGATATCAGTTTCATATTTGCTGGAGGAGCTGAATTAAGTGTGGATGTCCGAAGTTTATTCGTACCAAATGGGTCTCCGGGAATTTTATGTTTGGCGATCGATGAAATTCTTAAAAATAAAGATGATGAAGATATACACCCAAACCTCATAGGGGCTGTAGCTATGCAAGGCTATAACTTGGGCTACGACCTAAAAGCAAAAACGGTATATTTTCAAAAACAAAATTGTAATGTTCAAAGTTAGGTTTTGTATGTATAAAATTTTTAGAAAAAAGCTATTTAATTACATGATCATCTCTACTCTAAGGATCAACTATCGGACGCTAAAAATGAAAACACTCAGTTTTTTTTGCCCTTTTAATTCAATGTTGTTAAATCACTGTTAAAACGTAACATGATCTACAAAATATTGGTAGTTGTGGTGGTTACAACTAGGGTTAGAACTATAGTTGTTGAAGGGTCGATTCCTTTTAATTATGCTCCTTAAGGCTCACCTTCTTTCTTCTTGTCTTAGTAAACATTTTGACGTGCGTTTAGCTGTTTAGTTGGCCAATGTTGTTGATTAGGATTATTTTTCTCATAGATTGATCAGAAACAGTTACATGAAGTGATAAGGCTTCCAAGTACTTATTTATGGATTTGCATTTTTTTTTTTATCAAGCTGCTGGAAATTATTGTCAATTCATTATGCAGGAGGAAAACTTAAAACATGTTTATATCTTCAATTTTTTTTTTCAAATTTCTCTCTGTCTTTATGTATAATTAATTGTTCACTTCAATTGTTCATATCATTACATAATTAATTAATTTATATTGTTGTTTCTCTTTAATTGATGAGTCATGCTTTTGAAAATTTGTTATTCTATTTTTTGCAATAATTTTATTATGACACATTGAAATATGTATGCATTTTTTGTGTAATACTTTCTTTTAACAAAAAATAATTTTTTTATTTTTATATATTAATATATTATATACAAATTTATTAAGTTAATGACTCGCGATTGACCCAATTCGACCCTAATCGACCCAATAACCCGGTGATTTGATCCCTCCCCTCACCCTCACCGTCAACTATAATCCCACTATTCCGCCGTTGAATGTCTTCCATGAATAGTCTGACGCGTTTATCGCAGCTAGTGGTAACGAACAAGCGACTATGTTTCTTCCTTTTTACTACTCATCCTCACCGTCGCCACCTATCACATTGTACCCAAGAAACTCGTCTTCTCCGATTTGCTATCCAAAGCAGTACTCTCCCGACTTTCAACCCTGGTCCCAGGAACGTCACGTCGTTACCAACAGTTCATATTCCTGTTTTACCCTTGATGATGTTCTGCTAGTGGAATCCGATCTATTTGTATCTAACTTCATAGTAATTCACGGGATTGCATCTCCGTTGGACTTTACCCGTAATGGTGGTTTTGGTGACGCCGTGACGGCATGACAGCCTCGTCATTTCTCGTTATCGCCATTTTTTTTTGGATTAATAAATTCTCTAAGATTTAAGTTTTTTTTTGTTTTTTTATACTTTCAACATTTTTTTGTAACCATTTTTTTAACCACAAATACTACAATTCATTATCAAACAAAATACAAAGATCCATGCATTTTTAACATGTTTATAATTGGATCAGTAATACAGTACTATTTAAACACATTTGCTCCTCCTCCGAATGAAGTTCAGAGCAGTTGGATTTACCAATTAGTCTCGGCCGTCCAAATTGTTGCCATCTTATATAAATTAATCCAAAATTTATTTAATATTTAGTCTAAAACAATCTAACCAATCATGAAAAAGACTGCAAAATATAAGTGGCCGTCATAAACTATTAATTATATTAAAGATTTGCATATGAATATGAAAACATTTTCTATTGTGAAATATACTAAAAACTCTAAAACACCCTATATTAAAAAAACAAATGGAGTACAATTTTAGATTTCTCTAGTTAAATATATTTTTAGTATCCCAAATTGTCTGACGTCACGCTTCCAAGCCGTTTTTGAGCCGTATTTGAGTCGTCTCCAAGCCATCTTCGAGCCGTCTTCGAGACGTCCCCAAGCCGTCTTCGAGACGTCCCCAAGCCGTCTTCGAGCCGTACCCGTCCCCAAAGATGTGAGAAGGCGAAGACCCTGTGAGCCCGTGAGCTGGTGCCGGGTGCTCTGAAATCTCAAATAGACACAGTAGCTCCTCCAGTGAATGAAGTTGAGAGCAGTTGGATTTGCAAATTAGTCTCTTCTCCCTAAAGGCCGTCCAAAATTTTGCCGCCTCGGGGTCCCATGTTTAGCTCCTCCAGTGAATGAAGTTTACACACTTCAGAGCAGTTGGATTTACAAACTAGTCTCTTCTCCCTAAAGGCCGTCCAAAATTTTGCCTCCTCTGGATCCCATGTTGCCAAGCATCTCTATACCTATCCCCAGACTGATCAGAATCATCAACTGAATTCTCCCTTCGAGAATTTCCATTTCTTGAAAATGTTGTTGTGCTCAGCTTCTCGTCGTCTTCTGATGGTGTCCCTGACCCGGACTCAGTGTGCATATCGATGGATCTGGTTCTTGGCCCACCTGATCTGAAACCTCTAGCATTAGGCGCTTTTGGGATAAAGCTAGGTACCTTTGGAACCGGAAAATCCTTGGGAAGAGATTCCATCTCCATAAAACAGTTCCTTGCTCTGGCGTCGGTGATCAGTGCTGCCCAGTCCTCACACTTCATCAGAGCAGACGCATTTCCCATCACCTGTTCAAGAAAAATACGAGTCTCAGACACTATGGAAGAAACTAGAACGTAATTATCATACAAAAAAATATGTGTGTGCATCGCGATATCATACCCATAAGGCCCTTTTGGCACGTGTGAGAGCAACATTCATCCGCCGGATATCAGCAACAAAGCCAACCCCGTGATTGGAAGCACGCACACATGACATGATTATGACATCACGTTCTTGACCCTGAAACGCGTCTACAGTATTGATATAAATCTCTTTCACTTCATCTTGGCCCAAAGCATTTCCAAACTCCATTTTCAGGCATTTCAGCTGCAGTTTATATGGGGTTATTACCCCGACTGAGACTTTACCACCGCCCACTGACTTCAGAGTCCTCTGAAGATGCATGTACAGCCCAACACAGAAGCGAGCTTCATCAATGTTCTCATACGACACCGATCCACCTCTATGCGATTCCCGTCCATGGCTGATATCAAAGAAAAGGTAAGGCTTGAGGACAGAATCACTGTAGTAAATCTCATCAGGTGCAGTGGAAACGCTTTCACTGTCCGTGAGGCGTCCTTGGTAGAAATATCTTGAAGGGAAATCACGTATTTGAGGATGCATCCTATATTGAACAGTTAACAACAGAGTTGGACAACCTGCTAACTGAAACCTTTCAAAGAGACTTCTGCTGTATAAAAGGGTTCCAGCAGCTTTGCTAATAACTGTAGCAGGAAGCTGTTGCGGATCACCGACAAGTACACATCGTGCAGCACCAAGAGCAAGGGGAGGAAGAACTCCAACCTCACTAGCTTGGGCAGCCTCGTCAATGACCACCATATCGAAGCCATGCGTCAGGCGAGAAAACAGTTTACGACCACTGCTTGATACAGTTGTGAAAACAATTTCAGCCTCATTAGCGAAACTTGCCTCAAGACTTGCGCGAGCTTCTTCAAGATTAAAATTATAACCAGCGCGAAATTTTCCTTCGACAATAAGAAGGCGAGACATTTCAACAAGATCTTTATCTCTGGCTTCAACCACAGCAGAAAGGCGCTGTAACATTGCATCTCTGGTCTGATCTCTAACCATGAGAACATCTGGGTCAACGCCAACAGATCCCTGTGAACGGTTAGCAAAAGCTGCAGCAGTAAGTTCTCTTTTAAGTCCAGAAATATCTTGAGATAGCTGAGCTAATCTTATTCTGAGGTTGTGCATGTGTCCAAGAATTTCATCACGGGACTTAGCTAATAGCTGATCACTTCTTCGCTCCACAGAAACTGCTTGAGCAGCTCTAGTTTGAGTATCAACACCTACTCGAGCCACATCAGGTCGATAAACCCTCATTTCCCCATCAATAAAACCACGATCAAGGACACGTGAGAGAAGTTCATCGGTCGCAGCATTTGAAGGGGCACAAACGAGCATCCTTGGTTTAGCGCACAGTTTTGGCAGAGTACGAAATAGATTCTGGTCCATGTTTTGAAGGACTTCGTCAATAGACCCTGACACAATACTATCTGAATTGCTCTCATTAACTTGTTTATAACTTTCCGGAGCTAATTTCTTCAGTAAGGAAGTGTAATACTGCTGATACTGAACCAAATGGATAACATTCAACATTCCCCATACTGTGTGTGTCTTGCCTGTTCCTGGAGGGCCCTGGACAAGAGTAAATGGCCATGGATCTTGCCTCTTCACCCCACTGCTAGTACCAGCTGCAGTGTGCATTGCAGCCCAGTGGATTGCTGCCAACTGTGGAGCATTAAAGCTTCTATGCAAATGGCCAACGAAGCTCGGAGTAAAACAATCAGGCACTGTAGGAGTCTGCTCCCCGTAATTAGGAAACTGCTCTGCGCTGGGCCTGAGAATTGCATTTTGCATCTGAAAAATAGATGAGTTTCACCAGCATCAGCGTAACTCAAAGCATCTATTAGAATTAAAGAGGAAACAAAACTAACCTGTGGGTTAAGCTGACCAAACGCATGCAAAGCAACATATTCTCTCTGTGTGGTTGCAAGCGAACCAAGCACTGTCAGATGCCAAATCTCCTTAGGTTTAAGCTTCCGTAAAATATGATTATCGTCAATCTTACTGAAAAAGAAAATTACAAAGTAAAGAAATGAGACGAAATGAGAGACAGATAATAAATTCTTTCAGTAAGAATAGGTAGAAACGCAGATATGGTATCAATAGCTAAAAAGTAAGCATATACCTGCCAACGTCATAAGAGTCTCCAACATAGAAATGGAGAATTGCTCCATGAGGATCTCGAGTATCAACTGGTATATATCTCCTAACTGTACCAGCTACACGTCCAGCATCCTCATGCTCTCCTTCTAAACACAAAAATGACAAAATTACAGAATATACAGAGAAGCATCAGCAATATAAAAACCAACCAGAGAATCCACGAGTTCTAGCCATACCTGATTCAGGCACAGGAGTTGAAAGAACTGCAACATCGCCTTCCTTGAAAGCCCATTTACATTCATTTACTGAGTTAAGTATCACATCATACCACCCTAAGCCAGATAAAAATAAAGGTTAGCAAGTCAGGTAACAAGAGAACAGTCAGCATAGAGTTAACATTGTTGCCCCAGAGGGCTTTACAAATGTCAATAAGATTCATGGTGCTGGTTACCTCTCTCTCTTCTTTCGACGAACTTTATTCTGACCTTCATGTATGAATTTGCCTCGGATAATTCTTCCCACGAACTGTAAAGTTGTGCCCGGCACTCCTCGAAAAGTAAAGGCTCAAACACTCTAACATAATCATCCATGGATTCAAACCGCTCAGGAACACTCTGAAGCTCAGTATCCTCTAAACACAAGAAAAATTTATGCAAAGGATTCAATTACACAATGGGTAAAAAGGGAGAAAAGACGGACATATTTGGGAGAGCACATGGCCATATGAAATTATCAAGTGAATCATCATCATCCATGCAAGTAAAAAATGCCCAGTGTGAAAGTGTACATAAAATACAAGAGACAATCAAAAAGCTGACCAATTCTAATATTCACTTTCATTAACAGACTATTTAGATTTTAGATAACCAGCAAATCATCCAATTTTTCTTAAATGGGCCACAAAAGCCTCCTTAGCCAAAATGATTAAAGCCACCAAGAGCCAACTAATACAAAGACGATGTACTTTTATATTCCCCTGTGTTCAGTGCCTTAAGAGTTCAAAGCTAGTACCAAGGATGAAACAATTCCAATACATCAAGAGAGAGCAACTTTTACTACGGAGAACTGAGAGATGAAACAGGATAAGTGCATACGAAGATTAAGACAAATTAGAAGAATTCTGTCATCTACTTTTACAGGTATGATTTAATCGTATCACCTTCCAAATCATGTGGCCATTACGATTCTCACTGAGCCATGATTGAGGACACAGGGAACTGGCACCAGAGCAGTAGATTTAATTGGCATAAAAGTTCCTACCTTAAATCAAGATAACTTAACTGAAAAAAATAGGAGCACTCAAACGCGTGTTCCATAAGCAGAAGTACAATGTAGGACATACCTGGATGATGCCAGAACTTTTCGTTGGTCACCTCTCGTATAAGACGCTCCACAGATGTATCTTGGTATTGGTTACTATTTGTGACTGGCTTCTTGAACGAGGTAAATTTTTTGTTTCCGAACTTTGAGTCTGCAGAACTTTGACTGCTCAAGGAGACTTGTCTATTTGACGAATGACCAGCTTTCGACTGCCGTGAATTTATCGGCTGCTTCCATGAACCCTGCCTTGACACTGATGTCGATGTCCCATCAGAAGAAGGTCCTGCATCCCCGTTCATCCTCCTAGTTTTGCCACCCAAGCCGGATTGTGATTCACCATTAGATTCTAACTTCTGTTCAGACGTTTCTGGATGTATGCCACCATTAGGAATGTCATTTGGCTTCTGATCCCTATATACAATCCCGCCTCCTTGCTCAGCAAGTGGAGGACCTCCACGAGATTCTCTAACTGTGCGTGTGACAACAGGTTGTGGGAAATTTTGTCTTCTAGGTGTGGTCGTCTTAATAGGACCAGCTTGCTTGACATCTTCCAGGTTAAGAAACATGGTCTGCCTGTTGCGTTTCTTTCCCAACATCGTCTCTTTCTGTTGATCCATCTTTCTTTTCACAGTGGTATTTGCGCACTTGATTGCATGACTTGCTTCAATTCCTTTAGTTTCTCTCGGCTTCACTGTTAAACCCTGCTCTTGCGAGCCATCTGACGATGCACTATCTTTAGCACTGCCTTCTGATATGAGGCTGGCGTTTCTCTTTTGGAGACCAGAGTTTGAGTTAACATCTAATCCTACTGTGCTATTATCTTTCTCTGTAACTTTAGAATTATCAGAAGAGACACCAGTTTCTGGTTCTCGTGATAATATCCCCTTGTAATCGGAACTACTATGTACATTCTCGTTGGCAGGGGCCTCAGACTCCGTCCACTCACCTTCTTCTCTCTCAGGTGCTCCGGCATCATTCGTTACTACTGATGATGCAACCTTTGCTTCCTGAACTGTGTCTGACCTCGACGATGACAATGAAACCTTATGAGAATCCTCGTCCATCTTTTGTTCAACTGTTACATCCGTATGTTGACCAGCTACAGGGCGGACAAAAGGCTGAAAACCAGACACTGTTGATGCATGCAAGAACACTCGGTTGTTTACTTTATCTTGGGAGCACGTTGGTGTTGCCAGCAAGCCAGAGGTATTAGGGTTTGCAGATGAGGTAGTCTTCTGTGGCTGATTGCAGTTTAAATCATCATCTTCTGTAGGAAGTTCATTAAGATCAAATAACAATTTTCCTTCTGAAGCCATCTTGTATGTATAGTCATAAACAGTGTATAATTCCAAGATAGTGAAATATGTTTCTGAAGAAGATGCTAAAATAACACGAATCAAAAGATGTATCCCCTCTGAAGACACCAGCGTCTGCAGAGAAAGTTTAAACAACAGAAACCACAATCAAATTATCATGCTAATTCGAAGTTCGATGCAGGAAACTCAATAGCAAACATAAGGAATGTAATTGTTTCAAACACTTCAAAAAAGAGCAAGTCCCATTTCGCTTGACGAAACTAGAATATGCGATATCTCGATTCAAACCCATAGTACTGAAGATCAATTAAGCAAGTAGACAAACTGAAGCTATGTATAGTAATCAAAATCAGCAATTACGCACATGAACAATTGAATCAGCTATGAACTGAGATCAATGGAGCTTAGATCAATGGAGCTTAGATATAACGAACAAAATTAGAAGATCGAGATCAAGCAAACGAACCACTGACGGTGTCGGTGGAGGGGCAGCAATCAAACTCTCAATAGGGTTCCTCGGATCGTCCAACGAAAATACGAAAATGCCCTAAAATTTTCTCAATCCCAATTTCTTTTTCTCCGTAGATGATAAACAAACTCCGGCGAGGAAAAGTAAAACGGAGAAGACAGTTCGAAAAGGCGGCTCAATCGTAAGAAACCGACGGCGACGGAGGCGGATCGAAGATCTGGTCTCTTGGTCGATTTCGGGTTTGACGCGGAGAGCGAGAGGGAGGGGGAGGGAGAGAAAATAATCTGGTGGTTGAGAGACGACGAGACTCTTTCTATCAAGTTGGATCACGACCGTTGGATTAAGACCAATAGGAATAATCCGACGTTCTAGAACGAGCCAAACGAAAAAGAAAAAGGAAAAAGGGACACAGTGTGTGTTTGTGTAGAGAGAGGAGCTTGTTGGGGTATATTTTTGCAATTAGCATACCCTTTTGACGCTAAACTTGTTATCTTATTTATAGGCTGAGAAAGAGAGAGAGAGGCCCAGTTTCGTTCGCTTCTATTATTGCGTCACCGAGGGGCAAAACTAGGTTTTTTCTTTATTTAATAATTTTTATTATATTATATAGTTTTTGTTTTGATATTATAACTGACGAATTATTTTTAAATTTGGAGACTCTATTTATGACTAGGTCTCCTGTGTCATGCTTGCAGTTGGGATAAAGAATAAAAAGCGCTATTTCTTGTTTAATTATCTTGGTGTAATTTGTAATTTTACATCGATAGTTTTTAGATCAAATCAAATCATCAACAAAACATTTCAGCTAGGACTACTCTTGTCAGGAAGGAAAACGTTGGGGTTGCGGCAATTAAAAGGCATTGTTTATTGGTTGTATCGAATAGATTAGTATTTCTTTTGTCATGTAACATGTCACATAGATAGATTTTCTACCAAATATCGTGTCTGAATTATTGTGTGATTTCAGCTACAAGCACTGGTGAAAATCACAGTAGAAACATAGAATACTGACGGTGAAATGATGGACTTTTGGCAAGGTTTAACCAATATGATGGTTTAAACTTTTAACTGGTTAAACCGATATATAGATCTATCTTAACATCCTTAAAATAAATCAAACTAAAGATAATGAACTTCAATTTTAAATTTTAAATATTATGCAGTAAATCGCTATCAAATCACGCAAAACATTTATAATATTATGATTTGATTGGTGATTTTGCACTTACACATTTAATGGTTAACCCAAATTAATTTTACTTACATTTGAATTGATGGTAAATTTGAATAGTAAAGAATCCCATTAGTTAATTACATATTTCATAGGTTAGCCAGAATTTTGATATGAGATTTTACTAGATTATAAAAAAAAAAAGTAATTCATGTTGGCTATATATGATCCAACAGATCTACATACAATTGATAGATACTATTTTCCTAAGTGTCAAATCAAAATTTCCAGAATTTATATACAAACTAGTTACACTATTAAAAGACCATAATATGCAAACACATAGTTGCCAGTGATTGGTTTATGATCATGGACTAAGTTTATTTTTAAAGACCAATAGTGAGAAAGTCAGTGAAAGTTATGTTTAATCAATTGGAAAAACATATTTGAACAAAAAGGAAAAATATGTATTTTGGTATTTTATAGTAAGAAACATGTGAATATAATATTTCTTCAATGAGTAGAGGTTCGTGAATATGACAGCAATACAAATAGAAAAAGGAAGGTTTCTTTCTTGATTATCTTGATAATAAATAAATATTTCTTACCATGTAACTTCAGATAATTTGTTTTTCTAAAACATCTAAGTGATTTATTTGTAATACTAAAATACACTTTAAAGTGAGTATGAAGATAGTTTTGGATGAAAAAAGATTCTTTATCTCTTGTCTCCAGCTTTTCATATTAAAATATCTATCTTTTCAATATTTTGCCATAATTATAAAGAAAATCTTTTTTTAATGAAAAAATATATATTTACCGCAAAAGGATAAGTAAGAGAAACAGAAAAACACAACTGTGAAAAGAAAATACAATTATGGAACATTAAAACATATAAACTTTACATTTAAGTTTATATCCTTCCGTTTTAGTTGCATAAATACTTTACGAGTCACATTAGGGCTAATTACGACCTTTTAGATACGCCTAAAACCATTTTAGACGTTTGTTTGCACAACATATTTTCAGATGACACCTTTCCATCAAATCTACACATTGTCATTTAGGGCAATATCTGAAATTCATCAAAAGTAAATGGACAGATATGTAATTAAAGAAAAGAAAGGAAGACCCTTTATTTGACTTTGTACACGTTTTCTCAGTCTCTCGCGACTCGCGCTCCCTCTCTCTCTCTCACACACTGTGCCAAGTCCTCTGTTGCAGTCTCCAATAATGGCGTTTTCTAAGCCACTTTTCTTTCTTTTTCTCGTTTCGCTCTCCGTTTTCCGGGAAATCTCTTGTAACTCTTCTTCATTCACCGGAAATGAAGAAGCTTCGACTTCCTCAGAGAAAAATGGCGGTAATAGACATGGAAATCATTTGCTCGACGAACTCAAATCCACCGTCTCTGCTCTCCGTATGGTTTTTTTCTCTTTTACCCTTTTCGATTTTCGTTTCTGATTTTTCAGATTTTCTCGGAAGATTCTGCAATTTTTTAGCTTCAGTGACTACGAAAAGGTTTAGTCGTTTTAAATATTTATCTACGATTAGCTGAATATTCTGGGTATTTCTTCGATTTTGTTTCTGAAGAACTGTGGAGAATGTGAAACGGTTTATGAACTGTTTGGTTTCTGCTGAAATTCTGGAGAAATTGGTGAACGGTTTCGTTGGAATTGATATGAATTTATTATGTCTGTTTGTTTGGTTTCTGAGAAAATGTAGGTCCAAAAAAGAAAAGAAAGCGATTTTCATTTTCTTCTTTTAATCTTTCTAGAAAGAGAGAGACGTTTTAAAATCCTCAGCTTCCGTTTTTGTTTTCTGGAAAATTACTTGTAACGTTTTGTTTCTTTCCAAAGTTGACGACTTTTTACAGTTTCTAGCTGCACCATTTCTTAATCTCTTGAGTTGGTTACTAACTCTTCAGAGGCATTTTTTTGTATCTTTGTGTGTATTGTTAAAAGAATCAATCATCAACGAAAAAAACCAAGAATTGCTTAGCAAGGAAGAGAAAATCCGAGGCCTAGAGTTATTCATCCGGGAGAAATCCTACTTGTTTGAGAGTGAGATAGATTTTTCCCAAGTGAGATTTTCATTCAGCTGTGTTCCTTTTTCTGGATTTGATGAAAAGATGTAGAAGAAACTTGTTAACTTGTGATGCTGTTAATGCTTTATTTAGTCTGAGATTCCGGTGAAGCACGCAAGTGAAGCAGAAGAAAAGGTTTATGAGCTTGAGAAGCAGGTTGGTTTTGTAGTTTGACCTGTGTATTGCCTTGTGCTTCATTAGCTTTTTCCAAACTTTATTTGATACTTCTGCATTTGGCAGGTATTTCGACTAATACGGGAAGTGGAAATCCAACGTAAGAGAAGGCTCGAACTGGAAACTTCAGCTGAAATCGCTGATAAGAAAGTTGCAGAGCTTAGCCCAAAGCTTGAAAATGTAAGCTATGGTGTCTTAAGCATTTGATGTACTGATTTAAGAAACTCAATGTGCATGTTTCCTTTTGTTCAGATCGATGGAAAGTGGTTCTCGTCTAAGCTTGGTCTTAACCTGAATAAAACTCAGGTAAATCTAAGGCGTATAACATTGCATGATCTTAGTCATTGGTCTTCTAAACCCCTCTTTTTCAATGGTTGCAGGCATATCTAATGACTATATGGCATCAACATCTGAGCCCAACTCTTCATATCACTCTTGAAAAGGTTTTTCTTTGATTCACTAATAACCCTGAAAGTCTTCAGTTTCCCTTACAAGAGACATAACATCTTCTTTGCCTCAGGTGTCCCGGAAAATTGACCAAATCCAGAAATGGTCAGAGCCTCACATTGAAACCCTGAATTCAGTGAGTTTGATTCTTACCTCACACTTACATTCATTCACTTGAGTACTCAAATCTGAGAATACTTCCTCTTGATTTTACAGAAATGGATTCCAAGCATCAAAGATGCGTGTGTAACATTAACCATTTACCTCGAACCAAAAGTTCAATATTTAACAGATAAGTCCATGGAAGTGTTATCTATGTCTAAGCAGGCTTTTACACCACATCTCATCCAAGGATTCCATGTTTCATGCTACTATCTTGAGGTTAATATATATATAACCGTTTTTATTCATTCAGCTGCTTCTCTTCGACATTCAATCAAAACATTGTGGACCATTGTCTGTTCTTTTGTAGGTAATCAGGACACATTCGTACCCATACACGAGCCGAGTTATGACTATAGCGAAACCACACTTGGAGAAAGTACAAATCGCCTTAGAGCCATATACCGAAAACGTAAGACATGGCCTTAAGAAGTTGGTTAACTCGACCAAAAACTACCATCAGCAGGTATACACATCATCATGTTGCCTGCTAACTTTTTGAATTCAAAATTAGAGGTAAAAGAGTTTAATAAGCTCCCTTCTGTTGAAAACCAAGGCTCAAGAAATGCTGAAGAACAATGAGGTTACAAAACCAGTTGCTACCATGGATTTAGCTTGGGTTGGGGTATGTGTTTTCTACCATTTGAAAATGTTTAAATAAACTTTACAAAGTATTCAACTATGTTAAGCCCCGTTTCTTTTGTACTTCAACAGGCCACGGCTTTAATTGGTTTCCCTCTCATATTCATCATCAAATTGCTTTCTGCAGTCTCCAAGTAAGCTTTGAACATCTTTCAATGATAGTCTATATAACTTAACAAGTCAAGAAAGTAGTAAATATAAGTCTGCATCTTTGTATGCAGATCTAACAGTCCTAAGGGGAAGAAGAGATACAGCCATAAACAAGAACCAATTATCGGATATCGCAGAGCCAAACGCCGTCATCCTCACCAATGAAACAATATAACTATAGCTTTAGGAGATCTAAAAAATTTTGTGACAACTTATATATATCATTGGTTTTAGTTGCAACAAAGATGGTTATTCGAATGGAGGAAGTCTCTTCAGGTGGTTTGTAATGTATATACCTTTCTCAGACTTATAACAGTTGTTAGTTTTGGCTGAAGATTCAGTAACCAATCTGAGAACAATCTTTTTAGCTTTCATAGTTTTACGGTTCATTAGTCAAGAGAAGAGAACAACAAAAAAGAGTTATAATCTAGCATCTTAATCAACCCAGGCCCAGCCCAATTGGCCTGGTACGAGTCGAACTAAGAAAGCCTTCTAATGACAGAATTCATATTTTCACAATAATTATTGAAAATTTCGTTTTTGTAAATTTGCAACAAAAAGAAAAAAAAAAATCTTCTGATTTTCCATTATATATTTGGACTTAAATATCTTCCTACTGTTTGTTTTTATTTTTTTAATTTACAAAAATGGATAAGTCCTTTTAAAACCAAAAATATTTATATTTTGTGAAGACAAAAGGAGAGAAGGAAAAGGACAAGAGAGAGTCAATATCTATAACGACTGTTTGTGTCTGATCCCAATTTATGTCTTTATATGTCTCCTCCTTAAAGGTCGCTTTACATTTACCCTCGTTGTTGTTTTAGCTTTCATCTCTCTTTATCATCTATCTTTTCAAATAAACTCCAGAATTGTGGGAATTTTTTCTCATAATTTATATTTTCTAACTTTAAGTAAAAATTGAATGGACGAATTACATGTTCAGAAAATGTATATATTGCTCCATTAATATTTGTTAGTTTTTGGTTATTGAGGTTACTGATCAAGATAAAAAAATTCTTGAACACTTTTTATATATCTGGTGAAAAAAATACCTAGTTCTTATTGTTAGGGCTGCGTTGATCATTGATTGTGAACTCATTTGGTTAAGCTTAATGTTAATTATTAGGGATAACGAAAATGTTCAAAAAAGAAATTATTAGGGATAGCATGGTCACCTAGAATTATATGAGGAAATATCTAAACTTAGCAATTAATAAGATAATATTATAGCAAACTTGAGTGATATGTATATGTATGGATAACAGACTAAGTCTAAGGCTTCTCATTGAGGACCCATATCTTTGAGACAACTTGAAGCGGAAGTAGTCTAATCTCTAATGTTTAAAATTTTCAATTTTTCGTGGAAAACCTTAATTAGTTTGTTATATTATTAGCTTGTTCAATAGCCAATATCAATTATTAATGATCTTAAAATTTGTAAGAACCTTGAATATCTTGAAGTGTCTACTTTCTCTAAAATTCTCAATTTTGTTACAACTCTTTCGATAACGCTTCTAGAGATTTTATATAAGACTCTTATATACAACACATAGATATTAGGAGGTTACATAGCTATTGTCTAGAGAATCAGAAGTCCGTACGGGCGGGTTTTGAAAGGTCTCGAACTATAGGTAAAGGACCGTCTCCTTACTTGATTTTGAACTGATCGGTTAAGCAAAACTCAATTTGATTCTGATATTATTTTCTCTGTGGTTCGACTCTCTATAAATAATGGTAGCACATACTAGTTCACTTGCAAGAATAACTATGGACTTATACAACTTTTTATTATGGAGAATGGCATTTGCCTGCAGCCAGATCCGATCAGGCCCACGAATTGCAGGTCATTCTAACATCTATCTCTCCTCCCAGATCTGTTCGCGGTAGTGATCGCTATCTATGGCGAAGTGCTTCAGGTACTTTTGCGCAGGATTTCTCTTCTAAGGCTACTTGGAATGCTTTGCGGGTGACCGCTCCCACTGTTCCTTGGCATAAGACGGTGTGGTTTAAGGAAGCTATTCCCCGCTGTACCTTTATTACCTGGCTGTCTATGTTATCTCGGCTCCCCACCAAAGATAGACTCTTGAATTGGGGAATGACTGTTTCCGACCAATGTGTCTTATGTAGAGCAGGGCCTGAATCGCATGACCATCTGTTCTTCGCCTGCTCTTTCTCTTCGGACCTATGGACTCGTTTTGTAAACAGAGTCTGCGCTCCTGTTCCTCTCTCGCTTCGCGCTGTCGTTGCTTTCATCTCCTCCAGGAATCACTTCTCTTCAGTGGGCCTGAAGTCTGTGTTTAAGCTTCTGCTACAAGTCGTTATCTACGCCATTTGGAGAGAGCGCAACTCTCGCATTTTCAAAGACTCAAGCTCCCCTGTCTCTGTTGTTCGTGCTTCGGTGGATAGAATGCTTCGGGATCGTCTCCTCTCCTTCCCGCCGAATTCTGTGTCGTCTCCCTCCCTTCTTGAGTTATATTTCCAACATCTTGGTTCCGTAAGCTAGCGGTTGTAATCTTTTTTTTTTCTTTTTCTCTTCTTGTAATAAGTGATCCCTCACAACTCTGTAAAATCTTGAAAATGGTATGAATTTAACATGTTCGACCAAAAAAAAAAAAAAAAACACTCGTGATTATATGTTAGTAGGTAGCCTCAACTTGACGAATTGGTTGGCGAGTGTTGCTATGTAGACCTTTTGTAGATTGGGCTTATGCTTCTCAAGGGTCAGTCTAATGGGTTAAATTGTGAATCCTACATTATTCATGTCGCTAAAATATTTTGCCAAACTTGCATTAGTCCCCTACTTTTACCCAAACGCGATCAATTTGCAAACACAATGTTATTGTTGAGAATAAATTATAGCAAATAGCAAAGCCGGCTTAAATTATTGGTCTTAATCTGCGGGTTTCTGAGTATTGGTTTTATTTGACGTTATACAAGTCCTAAGGATTAATCTAAATATTTTATGAACAAAATGATAAATTATATTTAAAAAAAATAACAATTGTCAATTGGCTTGCTGGCACATCAAATAAACGTATGGTCAAACATGAGGAGTAATACTATTACATGCAAATGTAGTAACCAAATCTGAACGAACAAGAGGACAATCAGATCAGATCCACTGGTTTATTTTCAACTGACGAATTTGCCCTTGTGACATGCAAATATTACTTGATTAACATAAATGGAGACACACGTAATAACTATTGACAAGGAGAGTCATGGTGTTGACCTACAATATATATACACAGACACACTTCAAACTCAACCATGGTTAGTCGCACGTGCTATGTCCTCTGGTCAAATGTGTATGTTTTCATTATTAATTTCTTATTATCTGAAGTTTGGACAACAACTAGTAAAACTAAAAGGTTACACAGCCATCTACGTTCTCACATAGAAATATTAGTGTCATATATGATCAATTCGATTCATTAACATTGCAGAAAATTAAAAGGCTGAGAAAAAAGACGTTACTAGAACAGTTCAAAAGGAAAATCACTGTTAAAAGTAGTTAAGAAAGAAAGAGGTAAGATATGTTTCTGTGTTTTCGAATATACTTAGCTGAGAAAAAATACGTAATTTGGGTAAATTTATTTATTTATTTACATTTTTTTGATAAAAATTGGATCAACTGGTAATTGTATTTTACATATGCAATAAATGTTGAAGTAATTGGTTTATAATTGTGTAGAGAATTGGATATGGAGTTTTTGTTTATGTATGGCCTAGATTAAAACTCTTCGTATTAATGAGAAAGCTATCTCTTACGACAAGAAAATACAAAGACACATGCGGAAATTAATTGAGCCTTGCTATGATCGCAGTATTGATATATCTCTTACTTGGATATATGGGGTATAGTTCTAGTCATGTACTCCATTATAGGATAAATGTTGTAAATGTTTGTTCTTTGCAACTCGAATAAATATGGTTAATTAAATTGATTAGAGAAAGACTCTTTTGATATCAACGGATCCAGATTTCAATATTGTGTATGACAAATGAATGATTCAAATGTCCGGATGGGTTACTATGAATTGATTCCAAGCTTATAAAAAGTAAACTGTGGCATCAGAAGCGAAATCCTCCTATATATAAATGAATACCAGATATTTATGAAGTATCATATACGTAAAAAAAATATTGAATTATCTCAAATAATCTCTTTTTGAACAATCTATCTCAAATAATCATACTAGGAAAATATATCAAACTCTCAAATTATAGAACAACAATACTCTCTAAATACAGTGACATACAAATAACAACTATTTTTTAATATTTATATCTGTTATCATTTTAAAAAGATAAATTATGATATTTTATATCCCGTCGTTAAAAACACTCCCTCTGTTTCATTATAGTTGATTTTCTGAATATTTACACACAGATTAAGAAAGCTATAAATACTTAATTATCTAATATTTATTTTTGTTAATTAAGTTACTTTTACAACTTTATTATTTTTATTATTATTTTTTCTTTTTTAATTATGCATTAATGGAGTAAAGCAACATGCATTAATATTATTCATTCAATTTAAAGAAAAAACATACATTAATTAGATGTAGGAAATCAAATATTATGAAACAAGGAAAAAAATCTAGAAAATCAACTATAATGAAACAGAGGGAGTATTATAGATAATAGAGTATGGCATAGATGTTATACATATGGCTGATTTATGGTTTTCATATAAATATACTTAAATATAGCATAAAAGCAGTATTGTTTATGAATTATGATCATACAATATACATACTGTGACATCCCGTCCCGCCCTCCCTTTAGGAACCAGGCGCGGACCGGCGATATCAATCCTAACTCTCCCCCAACCGCCCCACGCCCTCTCTAGGCACGTGGACCCAACATCCTCTCTCTAGGCCCGTTGGCCCAACGCCCTCTCTAGGCCCGTTGGCCCATCACTGTCCGACGGTCGGGAGTTGTTAGTCCGGAAGACTCGTAAGACTTGTCTACTGTCCCTGCAATCACCACATGATCTTTCCCCGTGCTTTGTCCTCACTCGCACGGTACCGCATAGTACTTCCCGGTAGGTCACCCATCTTGAGACTACTCCAGCATCAGCACGCTTAACTTTGGAGTTCTCTCAGCACATTTGACCGGAAAAGATAAGTACACTTTGTTGACATATAGGTAGCCAAATCAATTCTTATAAGCTTTTTCGACTATCCGGAAATCGGGATGTTACAATTCTCCCCGACTTCCAAAGAATTCGTTCCCGAATTCTCCCTTTACCCCCACAGTGCTTGTACCAGGATCGTTCATCCTGTTACGGTGTGAGGCCACATGACGACTCCACACACGAGGTTGGGTGTCGGTTCTGATACCACTTGTGACATCCCGTCCCGCCCTCCCTTTAGGAACCAGGCGCGGACCGGCGATATCAATCCTAACTCCCCCCAACCGCCCTTCCCAGTGAGCCCAATGCCCTCTTTAGGCACGTGGGCCTAACGTCCTCTCTCTAGGCCCGTTGGCCCAATGCCCTCTCTAGGCCCGTTGGCCTACCACTGTCCAACGGTCGGGAGTCGTTAGTCCGGAAAGCTCGTAAGAATTGTCTACTGTCCTTGCAATCACCACATGATCTTTCCCTGTGCTTTGTCCTCACTCGCACGGTACCGCAGAGTATTTCCCGGTAGGTTACCCATTCTGAAACTACTCCAGTATCAGCACACTTAACTTTGGAGTTCTCTCAACACACTTGACCAGAAAAAATAAGTGCACTTTGTTGACATAGGTAGCCAAATCAATTTTTATAAGCCTTTCCGACTACCCGGAAATCGGGATGTTACACATACCGTATATACAGCGATAATGAATACAAATACTCATTTTAGATTTTAGACAATCTTGTAAACAATTACATAAAAACCAGAGTAGGTCTTTATTTTTTTATCGGTTTGAGCAGAGTAGTCTTAATAAACATGGTCAGCAACAGCAAATTGCTTACATGAATATCATCAACAAACTTTCGTGTTTCGTAAACAATAAGATAAAAACCTTTAATGATATTGGGATTATCAAAGTGTAAAAATTAGTTTATTCAAAGAACAGTTAATGGCTGAGTTTAAAAAACAAATTAGTTTTGATTTGAATTGTTAATTAATTAGATGCTTCTAATCAGATTTCTAGGAGATATGTCGGAAGCACCGACGACACGTGCGGATCCGTCACGTGCGCGATTCAACTCTTAACTCGTATGTCGATATTTTCGTTAAAAATATTTATACTAAAAAGGTTATTATTATAATATTTTTTCATTTTTTCACACTCCGTATTGTCGATTTTTATGCCCGGAATCAAGGGTTTGACTTACCAAATTGTTACCTTTTTTTGGGCTTAAATTTATTATTCAAAATATTACCATTTTAAAAGATAATCTGGATTAAAATCACTAACCAAGGACTCAAAAAATAATAATAAAAAGACATGTGAATGAGTTAATGAAAGTTGAGAAAAAAGAGATAATATTTTAATTTTAATTTTTCCAGAAAGCCAAACCTCTTTCCTTCATATAACACACGAACCCCTTTTCATTTCCCTTTGAGCAACAAAAGTGAACTTCTTATCCGATTCTGAAACCAGAAAATTAGCTGCAGAATCTTCAGATTCTCAGGAAAACCAAGAGAAGGTTTTTGGACAGAATCTTCAAGAATTTTTCTCAGATCTGCCACTGTTCAAAGGTTTGAACAAAAAATCTTTAGTTCCGTCGTAATCTTCTCTGTCTGATCGAATCGTTGTGTGAATTTCATTCTTGATTGTTTCAATCGATTCGATTCGATGTGAATTTGATTTAGTTAGCTTTATTTGATCTCGCTTTGTCTATTACTCTCCAACTTTCTGAGTTTACTGTTTTAGTTCTCAATCGCCTCAAGGTGACCGATCTGTAACTTTTTTGCTTTATCTTTCTTCTTCACAACACAATCCCTGAGCTTGTTCTTTTGAAAATCTAGCTAAAGTTTCTAAATTTAAGTGCTTCTAATATCTTATTGAGTTGTTTGTTTTGCCTTTTATATAAACATAAAAGAAAAACTACTTCGTCTCCTCAAAGTTCCTGAAGTTTTCTTGGTGATCATATTCAGTCTTTCACTGAATCATTTGTATATTCACTTGTATTTTAAAGTTTTTCCCTAGATTTGATTGTTGAAATCTTCTATCTGAAATGACCCCTTTTGTCGGATTTTCTGGAAAATTTCAATTTTTTTTTTCCGGGAAAATCTCGTTTGTTAGGTAGAGTTGACTAACACAAAGGACTTAAAGATTTTTAACTTGTTAAAAGTACTTCAAAAAATAGCCATTTCAACTTTTATTGATGTGTTATATGCTGTCTACTCTGTTCAAACAAACCTGATGCATTTTATTCTTCTTCTTCTTCTTCGCCATTTTCATTTGCAGCAAGAAGGTCCTACGGTTTCAAATTCATTTGTAGAGAAAATATGATAAATGTGATGAATCCAATGAAAGGTGGATCAGAGAAAGGCTTAGATCCTCAACTATGGCATGCATGTGCTGGTGGTATGGTTCGTATGCCTCCTATGAACTCCAAAGTGTTCTACTTCCCTCAAGGACACGCAGAAAACGCTTACGACTGTGTCGATTTCGGAAACCTCCCTATTCCTCCGATGGTTTTATGTCGAGTTTTAGCCATCAAGTACATGGCAGATGCTGAATCCGACGAGGTTTTCGCCAAACTGAGGCTGATTCCTCTAAAAGACGACGAGTTCGTTGATCACGAGTACGTAGACGGCGAAGATAGCAACGGGTTCGATAGTAACAGCGAGAAAACTCCTTCTTTCGCCAAGACTCTGACTCAATCCGACGCTAACAACGGTGGAGGGTTCTCTGTTCCACGATACTGCGCAGAGACTATCTTCCCGAGATTAGATTACAACGCAGAGCCACCTGTTCAGACCATTCTTGCAAAGGATGTTCATGGAGATGTGTGGAAGTTTAGACATATATACAGAGGAACACCACGTCGCCATCTTCTCACGACAGGGTGGAGTAATTTCGTGAACCAGAAGAAACTTGTGGCGGGAGATTCGATTGTTTTCATGAGAGCTGAGAATGGAGATCTTTGTGTAGGGATTAGAAGGGCTAAGAGAGGAGGGATCGGTAATGGACCTGAATATTCAGCTGGTTGGAACCCTATTGGAGGAAGTTGTGGATACTCTTCTCTTTTGAGAGAAGATGAAAGCAATAGCTTGAGGAGAAGTAACTGCTCGCTTGCGGATAGAAAAGGGAAAGTGACTTCTGAATCTGTAATAGAAGCAGCCACTCTGGCTATTACCGGAAGACCGTTTGAGGTTGTGTATTATCCGAGGGCAAGCACGTCGGAGTTTTGTGTCAAGGCGTTAGATGTTCGAGCTGCGATGAGGATTCCTTGGTGCTCTGGTATGAGGTTTAAAATGGCTTTTGAGACTGAAGATTCTTCTCGGATTAGCTGGTTTATGGGTACTGTTTCAGCTGTTAATGTCTCTGATCCTATCCGTTGGCCTAACTCTCCTTGGCGTCTTCTACAGGTAAAAACAAAACAAACCCTAATTAAAAGTTCCTTCCTTTTTGTTCTCTGCTTTGTAATCTCTACTTAAAGGTTGCATTTTTATGTGTTTTCAGGTGGCGTGGGATGAACCGGATTTGCTCCAGAACGTGAAGCGGGTTAACCCGTGGTTGGTTGAATTGGTATCAAACGTACATCCGATTCCTCTCACTTCCTTTTCACCGCCGAGGAAAAAGATGCGTCTTCCTCAGCATACGGATTATAATAACCTAATAAACTCGATCCCAGTACCTTCATTCCCAAGCAATCCACTCATTAGATCAAGCCCGTTAAGCTCTGTTCTGGACAATGTTCCCGTGGGTTTACAGGGAGCCAGGCATAATGCTCATCAATACTACGGGTTATCATCTTCCGATCTCCACCATTACTACTTGAATGGACCTCCTCCTTCTCATCCTCCTCCTCCTGCTACATCATCTCTCCCTCTTTCTCCTCCTCTTGGGTTACGAAACATAGATAGCAGAAACGAGAAAGGGTTCTGCTTTTTGACCATGGGAACAGCACCGTGCAATGATACCGAGGCTAAAAAGTCACACATCGTTTTGTTTGGAAAGCTCATACTACCCGAGGAGCAGATATCAGGGTCGACGGATACTGCAAACGTAGAGAAGACGCAGATTTCATCAGGCGGGTCGAACCAGAACTGTGTTGCGGGAAGGGAACTGTCTTCTTCAGACGAAGGATCTCCTTGCTCTAATAAAGTTCATGATGCAGGTGGTTTGGAAACAGGGCATTGTAAAGTGTTTATGGAGTCAGACGACGTGGGTCGAACCTTGGACCTGTCGGTTCTTGGCTCTTACGAAGAATTGAATCGGAAACTATCTGACATGTTTGGTATTCAAAATTCTGAGATGTTGAGCTCTGTTCTCTATAGGGATGCGTCAGGAGCCATCAAATACGCAGGAAACGAACCTTTCAGGTAAAAACAAGATGCTGATTTTCCTTTTTTTTTCTCCTAATATATGGTGATTGAATAAAGCATCTGATTTGATTAATGTTTGTATTTTTTTCACTGATCTCTTGCAGTGAGTTCTTGAAGACAGCTAGGAGATTGACGATTCTGACTGAGCAAGGAAGCGAGAGCGTTGTAATATAAGTGGTCTGAATGTTTTTGTTGGAGCTTGGAAGTCAAAGCTTAAAGCTTGAAGCTCTTTTTTTTTTTTTTTTTTTTTTTTTTTTTAATTTGGTTCCACTATTTTGGATTCTGTAATTGTCAAAATACAATCGCAATCTATTGCAAATAAATAGATTCATCTTCTCTTAAAAACATCTCCTTTAAGATTAAGGCTTTAATCTAATATGGTTAATACAGATATAAATTCATATATAGGTTTTATATTTCAGATATGTGTAAGTTTTTTTGTCAGAATTATCTTCTACTTATGCATAACCTAGCTATGTTTAAAAAAATATAATGATAAATGTTCATTCCAAAAAAAATATAATGATAAATAAAAAACCTTGTAGCATATCTAGAAGGATTTTAAGGACAATATTTAAACTGGCAAATTAGGATATGTTTGTAAAGTCACTCAAGATGATAATCTAAATTTAATGATTATTGTTTGATGAAAGTTAAAACCTATAGTGATTGAAATCAATCTTTGCATTGTGTAACTTTTTTTTGTTGTCTACAATTCGTTTTTATACACACAAACGGCAAATCGCATCTTAGTGATGATACGCATAAATCAATCGGCCTTCCATCAATTGATTTTTGGTTACAATCAAATATGTCAAATAGTGAGATTTGAGTTTTTCACTATATCTTCTTGGGTTCATTGTAGAAACTAGAAAGGTATGAAAAGTGATAAATCTGGAAGACAAATTAGTTAGGGTGATGCGAGGGTCATGTCTCTAGGCACATGCACAACAAACAACGGTCGGATCCTATGTTTGACAAAACACATAGTCCTCAACAACAAAGTTAAGTTGGATCTCCCTATTTTCATTTATAGCTGAAACTTAATTATTTATTTTCAGATTCCAATGCATATGGAACGAAAATTCCTTATCATCTTCGACCTCTTGTAATTAAATGTATTTCAATAGTCCTCTATATTCGCATCTCGGTTGTCAAAGTCAAAGTATTTCTAAACTCACTTTTTCTTTGCTTGTTTAATGTAAAAAGTTCTAACACTTTTTTTGTTTCGTATATGATAAAGCTATACCCACTTCTTTTGCGCCAAAATTAATTAATGTCCTATTTTCCTTTTAATTTAAATTATTGTTCTTTTGCAACCTTATGTATTCCAAAGTCCAAACTCTTAACTGGCGTTAGTACAGTACGAGCGATCTTATAGATCGAATTCGCTGAAACTTGTATTACTGTTAACTAACCATGAAACATGAAAATGCTTACGAGTAGTGTTAATTGATATTTGAAATCAAGTTAGTTGACGTGATTAGAGTTAATATAAAAACGGAACCAAAACTCGATTCTTGTGGCTTAATTAAGAGATATGAACATTGTATATAAATAAAAAGATATAAGAACATGAATTGCATATCTGAATAAAATCAAAATATAGGGGTTTACATTATTCAAAAGTGATTGTGACAACCCTACGTCCGAAGTTGACTCTTGAACCACAAATATTCACAATTCACAATCCCAACAAGATTATAAGAGCAATTAAACAGCAAAACGAGAGATACATGGGGAGTCTTGATTAGGAATAATTATATAATAATCAAACAAGTCAAATTAATTAACTGATGATCATAATATATGTGTTAATCTTTTGACCAAAAAAATGTGTGAATCATAGGAAAAAATAATATGGAGAAGCAGATACTTAGGCTGGCTTAGGGTTTTGCAAGAAAACTTTGCTAACCATAGTTGAGTTAAGAAGAGAGAGACAAGTGTGACAAAAGTCAAAGAGGAGAAGAGACAGAGTAGCGAACGTTGTGGCACTTTGAATACCAGTTTTATATAAATATACAAATAATTTTAATAATATATTTAAAAAGGGAGGAAAAAAAATAAGAGGACAAGAGAATTAAAAAGAGGCACGAGGTAGACAAAGATTCGGGAGGCAAGGAAATGCCAACTCGAAGGCCTTTCTTTACGTGAAGAAACATCAATGCATGTGTCCTCTTCATTCACAAAATATTAAATCTGTCATTGTCTTCTCCTTCACGTTCGTTGTCCACGTGTCCAGATTTACGATTTTTGATGATTTTTTTCCTCAACCAAGTTCTCTTTTTTGTTTTTGTTTTTCTTCTAACACAAATATAATACTAACTCGAGATTTACAACCACCGAATAAATTTCATAGTGCTTGACTTACGCAACATTAGAAAAGTAAAACATTACCTCAAAATTGGAATCGGCGAGTGATTAGATCAAAACAATCGGAACAAGTGTCTTTTTTGCATTCTGTTATTTTTCGATCGAGATAACTTTTTAAGAAGTATGGAGTGGTGATATTAAAAATATCGAAAACTACAAATAGAAAATGCAAATTTTGCATTCTTCAGCTGAACTAGAGTCTATATATATATATATATTATAGTTGTGTTTCATGGTTTTGGTCTTATCACTCTTTTATTAGTTCTATCATATTTTTAAAAATTGTAGGTTGTGGTAAAACATAATATATAGTAAAACATGATCTGTGGGAAATAGGGTTGGTGGAGGAGCATATTTTCTGGTAGCTAGAATCCAAAATTCGGTAAAAAAATATTAGCCATCGCTAGGTTATTGTAATACATGTTAACAACTTTTTTATAAAAAGTATGTAAATTAGACTTTTCGAACTTTGAACGAAAATTTAATCATTCATACACTCCATCACCTGGTTCTAACTAAAAACATGATCTACTTCCTCTTCGAAAAATACTACTTTGTGAGTTTGTTCAAATATGGTGTTTTTATTACTAGATCCACATATGCGAACCCCTGCCGGCCTGCCCTACAGTTTTACAACTTAAGTACGAAGATCAAGCATTAAGAGAGACTTGATAATTTCCAAATCCGACCACAACTTTTTTATTCCACAGACCACAGATATACTCAAGTAACTCAACCATTCGTGGACTCACCAGAGGAAACAATGGCCTTTCAATTGAAAGCCCAATAAAAACCTGTTATAAATACTATTACTAGCCGGATCCCTTTACTTGTTTTAGTAGATTTTGGTTTAAATCCTGTTATTGAATTCAAATCAACTCTTTATTTATCAGTCATCACATATATTATAAAAAGAATTAATCTAGTGAAGTAATATAAAAATTACAAAGATATTGAGTTATCAGTCATCATTCTATAATGACCAACCATAAGAATTACAAAAATATGTGTTACTAAACATCATAACGTTAAAATTATGTGGCTACCCAAATATTTAATAAACATTGTATTTTACCTAGTAAGACACTTAAATTTGAGTACTCATCATAAGCTTAAAGTTGTTTGGCTCTCTACTCCATCCTCGTGACCCCTTAATCCTCTGACTCTTGGTGAGCTTTTGCCGATTGATTCTTCCTCTTCCGTCTAATCATTATTGACTACAGTTTGGTTAACTAAGTTTTATGATGTGGTTTGCTAAATGGGCTACGTCGAAAAAGGGTCCTTTCTTGGTTGTATATTTTTTCCTATACTTTTAATTGAAAATCTTAGTTTTAGAAAGAAAAAGTTCGGGTGAGATATTAATATCGTAGCAGATGAACTCCATGGAACTTAGTCTTCATTTGGTTTCACTTTTGTGACAAACACTGGTTTTAATATAAATATATTTAAGACACTTAATTCTCACTCATTGTAATATCAAATTTTATTGATAGTTAAACTACTAATATTTTGACACTATATTACAGGCAACGAAGCACATAACAATAGATATTTTGAGGATGTTGACCTTAATTTATACATTTGGAGAAATTTAGCCTTTTACCACAAAAGACGTATGAGCTCTATCAGCTGAACAATGGTGAGAGCAAAGACACTGTCCAAGTTCTTTCTTTAGGGTGCATAAGCCTGTGGCCTTTTGTCCAAATTTTGATTTGCAAGATGCATCGCAATCTTTGACGTCCATAGTGCACATCCCAATGGATGTAAGGCACCCCATATTTTGCTCAACTATATACACCAAAAAAAAATTTTTCATACTTAGATAAAAACATTAATACTTACATTATATAGCAATTTGCAAGATATTAAATCTATCTCATTTGCATATATACAATGTTTGGCATATATATGCAAATATAAGAAACTGAAATCATCTTAGAAAACGTGAATTGTTTCTGCTGTTTTGTAGGATAAACCAAAAGATGTATGTATTACCGAAGAACATAACAAGGAAGATGATAGGGATAACAATTGAAGAAGTTGACTTTGCCATCTTTTTACTTTTGTATTTTTTTGGAGATAGTAATAGAATGATTTTTAAATACATAAAATTATACAAGAATGTGAATTTTATAGTTATATGGCGTGGGCACGTTTAGAAATAAATCTACTGAACATAATATATGATATGATCAGAGATTCGTTAAACTTATCTCATTGAAATATGACATGTTGGATTGACATATACACACACACATCGGAAAGCAAAATGGAAAGTAGATAAAAAGAACATGAATGTACAAAATAAAATCCAAACAAATCAAGAATCTAGATAAAGATGGATTTTTTTCTCTTATTAATTTGTTATTTAACATTAAGGAATTAATATGATGATGTCAACAGATATCATTCAGCAGAAATAACCCTTTGTTTTGGCAACATATCAATACATATTAATATGTTATTGGGGGACTGCATTATATATAGACCAACTAAATGTTTCAATGGTTAACAGATAATTGTCTCAACCAATTATTAAAGAAAAAAAACTAGAAAATATGAAGAATGCATTTTCGCTTGTGGTGTTCATCACCTTCTTTATCATGCTTGCTTCCGGTAATATTATTTATATCTTTTCGTTCAAATAATTGGGCTGTGAACTTGGAATTCCTTTTTCAAAAATAATAATAATACATATATATATAGTTGAGAATTTCTAACTTTTCCCCGGTAAATTGATGCAGTGGATCTTAATATAACTAAATCGTCCATAAAATTCAGTCGAAAATGCTATTTTGGTTCCATTTCATATAATGTTTACAGATTATTTTTCAATATTAGATTATGTTATTTTCTATATATTTGTTATTCAAATAAACGTTAATGACTTTTATAACCGTTTGAATTCTACTATATATATTATCTTTGGCTGAATTGTTTTGATTAGATATTATCTGGAGTTTTAAGTGTAAAAAATATGAAAAGTATATCATTTGTGTAATTTTTCAATGTCGCTTTTCTACATAGAAATTATTGTAAACTGAAAACGAAAGAGTATACTTTTGAAAAATTAAGTTACATTTAGCCAAAGTTTTACTACCATTTTATTATTCTATTAATACTTTGAATGCGTCATATTGCTCTGTTTATATTAATTTTTTTGTTAATTCAATACAAATGCACTGTTTCCACATAATCTTCTAAATCACTACTTCACAAATCAACGATTTTTTTTTTTAAAATAGTATCCTGCTCTTTAAATACACTTTCTTTTCTACTAATTGCCATAGGTTCAAATGATTCTATCAATGTTTTATTTTTCCTGCACTAAGAAAAATCTTTTACACAGTTAATAAGGTGAAGGCAAACATATGCCAGGATGCTCTAGGTGCTTGTCCACAATGTGATGTGAGATGTAAGGCTAAGCACGGGCCAGCAGGTCAAGGCAGCTGCGATAATGTAAACCAACTCTGCACATGTAATTACACGTGCGGACCACCAAACCCTCAGCAGTCCGAACAATGCTATGGCCTGTTCATTTGCACAGATGCATGCAATCAAAACTGTGCCCAAAAGTATCTCGGTGGATCTGGATTTTGTGAGAGCATTGGCAATACTAAATTGTGCAAATGCCAATATCCTTGCTAATTTTTGTTTTTATTTTTATTTTGGGATAATTGAGACGAATCAATAAAATCGAATCAGTCTTCTTTTTCATATTGTAACTTAGATGGTGGTCATAACTAATAAGTAAGTGATTCTTATTATTCGAAAGCTACTATTCTGCATGTTCATGGTTTATAAATATCATGTGAAAAATGACAAATTAAGCAAATATAGATTTTAGTGGATATATGCGGTGTTAGCGGAACCCTATATACATATTGACATCGAACAAAAATTAAAACGACAAATAGAACTTAGATGTCAAAATACCTTCTAATTAAACTTTTAGTAAACATAACATTTTAATAAAGAAAAAACAATGTGTAATTATCATTAGCTTTTTTTTAGTTGTTCCTAACGCACAACAAATTTTAAAATTCGTTTTAGTCTGTAAACTTAACACTATCCAAAACTTTTGGATATCATATCAAAATGGATAAAAGATCGAAACAAATATTACATATTCCGCTAACACGGCATATATTCACTAAAATCATGGTACGGGATCAATTCGTCAAACCAGGTGAGATTTCTCTCGACATTGAAGACAACGATGGAAAAATCCTTGAGCATTCGCCAAGAGAGGTTTGACGCATCAAGAGACTGGAAAGACGAGTGGTAATGTTAGAAGGTTTGATGAGCAGAGGAGGAGGAGATGATGCATCAAAGGAGAAGTCGGTGAGACAGCAAGGGGGAGGAACCGGCGGTGAAGGGCGACATTCCACGGCGGGATACAAACGTAACCGTCAGATATGACGGCTTCAATGTCGGAAAAGCATTTGAGGATTACGCCATCTTACTAAGATATGTCGCGGACGAGGAAGAGCTTTTCGGAAATTTTAGAGCCTTACTTTTAGATATTTGGAAATCCATTTAATCATTTATGTCTCATTTAAAAGTTTGAATTCTGTTTTAACCTTTTAGTAACATGTTAATGACGTGACCAAAAAAAAAAAGTAACATGTTAATGGATGTCGTCAACATACACTATAACGTAACTATCCTTCCTAAAAAAATAATAATTTACTGTTCTAAAGGAGTAAAATTAAATTCTCAAATAAACTTTGACTAAATTAAGTGAGTGTTTATTGAATACTTCAATGTTTGGCAACATAATAAGGGTGCATTACATTATAAATAGACCAACTAAATTTTCTAATAATTGGCCAAACCAATCGCCAAAGAAAAAAAAATACTAAAAAAAGAAATGAAGAAGGCACTCTCACTTGTGATTTTCATCATCTTCTCTATCATACTTGCTTCCGGTATTATTTCTTTTATCTTTTTCACTTATATCAGGCTGTGAATATATGGAACTTTCACTGCATTTAATCATTGAGAATATGCATTTACGCACTAACTATTCCTCGATAAAATGATGAAAGAACAAAATGCACCGCATCCTAAAATAAATAAATAGTCCAAAATGTTTTATAATACTGTATTGTTATGATCTTACCAGAAAAACTGAGTTAAACTTAGCTAAATTCTTCTACCATTTTATTACACTATATATAATCTGACTAAACCAATTGCTCTGTTTGTATTATTTATTCTATATTTCTTATGTTTATTCCACATAATCATTAAGTTATTAAGTACCCCATTTTTTATTATTATTAGTTATGTTTGTAACTGTATTTATGCTCGCTATGAACAAAATAGAATGTTAGAAAACGCTGTATAGACTTTGATCCAATCATGTAATTCTACATCAAATTTCCTACCTAAGAAGTATTTTATTTGTCTTATAAAAAGGTCTTTCACGACTTCTAATACAAATAATTCTGGTGGAATATGCTTTGTTTACTGCTAATTATTGTCACAGATTCAAATCTTTTAATCGAATGATTCATTTTCCTGATACTAAAAGAAATTAAATTAACGATACATAAACTCTGTTACAGTTGAAAATAAGGTGAAGGCAGATATATGCCATGAAGGTCTAGGTAATTGTAACCAATGTGATGAGAGATGCAAGGCCAAACACGGGCCAACAGCTCAAGGCGATTGCAATAATATTTATCAAATATGCACTTGCAACTACGATTGCGGACCGCCACCACCAGCTCCACCACGCAGACAATGCTCTGGCGGAACTGGCCTTTGCGATACTAAATGTGGGAATCCTTGTTGCAATCTAAGCTGTGCACGAAAGTATCCTGGTGGATCTGGATTTTGTGACAACAGCCTTGGCCATACTCTTTTGTGCCAATGCCAATATCCTTGCTAATTTTTTTTTATAATGAATTTTTGAATAAATAAAAGAATCGAATCAGTTTTCTTTTTCATAATTTCATATTGGATGTTGGTAATGAGTAAGATTATTCATAAACTACACCTTCGCATGCCTATTGTTCATAAAGATGTATGATGCTGAAGAATCAAGCGAACATAAATTCTAGCCGCCAAATGCGGTGTTTCATGCAAAAGAATCATCATCCCTTCTCCACACAAAAAAAAGGAAGCAAAAACTAACGTGATATATTTTGTTCCATCACATTATACATTCTCGTACAAAAATGAAGAAGCCGAGACTTTGATATGTACATGGAACAAATGACAGCCTATCTCATAGTCATCGTTAATACGTCAAGCCTGAACAGATATTTTATAGGGTAGTGTGCGATCTGAAAACCTAATAAGAACTATGCCTAATTAATGGGCTTATTTTAATTAAAACGCATATAAAACTAAGTCTAATCTTATTTTGGTTTGGTTTGGTATAAGATTAGATTTGGTATGGTGTTAGTTTTGGTTTACCAATCTGAAAACTAGGGAAATTAGAAAGATTGATCACTTCACCAATTCGAGAAGGGAATCTCATTAGCATGCCTGGTTGGATAAGCGTATGAGCCATTGAAGCAAAAATTGAAGATATTTTGACGGAAGATAAGCTAGAATAGTCATATCATCCAATTGGTCTTCTCTCGGAAAGGTATGAAAGAGAGAAGACCACTTCATACAATTAGAAATGAGCGAAGTTCTATCTTGCCAAAAACGTAATTATAAGTAACTTAGTTTTAGGCTTAATCTTTATAGTTGTTTTGGTGTCATTTGATGAGACCATATCCCTGTTTTAATGCGAAGGAAATTATTTCAGTTTTAAACTCTACGACCAACATCCAACTATAACTAGCATTTTGCTCTAATAATATATTTTATTAATACAAAATTTTTTATCGGAATTATTTTCTCAAGAACATTAGGATCGAAAGATCATCGTAGCATCTACAACTTTTTTTATTATTTAATTTTGAATTTCGATTTCTACATAAACTTATTAAAAGATTCGAGATTTCAAAGTTGTGAAGAAATCATGAATGAGTCTTATCACTCGGACAAGGGTAAGCGCAAATACATCTTCCATCAGCACCGTCGCGGTCACAGAAACCACGTGCATTTATTCCAAATCTAACTCTGCATGCCCCACCGCAATCGGGAATGTAACGGCACGTTCCAATAACATCCATGCATCCCATATTCTGCTCAACTACATCAAACAAAAGTGTTTTTTTTCTTATATATATATATAGACTACGAAAAAAATATTAGTACTTACTAGAAATCAATACCTGGAACTAGAGCATTTATGATATATAAGTTTAATTAAATAATTTATAGAAGATTTTTTAAAAATTGCTATGATCTTAAAGGTACAATGTATACCCAAAGCAAACATCACAAGGAAGATGATGGGGAAAACGAGCGAGGAAGGTGCCTTCGCCATAATTATTTTGTTTCTTTGCCCTCTTAAACTTAACTACTAATAGAGTGATTTTAGTTGATATATCTGAAAATTTGGGAGACAACTAAAAGAAGTTTTATAAAAGTACGAGATGCCTAACTTTAATAAATATAATTACCATTACATATATGTTTGAACAAAAATTATTTGACTGCAATTTTATGACTATGACTTATAAATATGGAAATTTACTTATGTCACGTTGACATGTTCATTGACGATCGAACTTACTTATCTGATCCCAAATCCTCAATCATAGACGACTCATGGTCAATCTCGAATTTTGAAACAAGAGTTGTCTTATTTGGAGATATCACGATATGTAGAATCAATGACTGAATCATGTTCGGAGCAATTACTCAAAGACCCAATGATCCCATGGATAATGGCCGGTCAAGAATGACTTGAACAGTCAAAATATACTTCTAAATTACATGATAACAAAGTTTTTTAAAAAAAAAAAAGAAAAGGAAAGAACAAAAATGGAAGCGTGAGAATTATTACTATACATAAATATCACAAATTAGTAAAATATTTTTATTAAGAAACTCAAGAATCTTGCAATAATTAAATTAAAGAAAGGAAACGAAATTATATGTTCTTTTTTTTTGTTTGAACAGAACAATTATATGTTTTATCTGTTTATTTTTAATAATTTTCCATTAGATATTACTCAAAGCCATTACTCAAAATACCCAATGATCCCATGGATAATGGCCGGTCAAGAATGACTTGAACAGTCAAAATATATTTCTAAATTACATGATAACAAAGTTTTTTTTTTAAAAAGAAAAGGAAAGAACAAAAATGGAAGCGTGAGAATTATTACTATACATAAATATCACAAATTAGTAAAATATTTTTATTAAGAAACTCAAGAATCTTGTGCAATAATTAAATTAAAGAAAGGAAACGAAATTATATGTTCTTTTTTTTGTTTGAACAAAACAATTATATGTTTTATCTGTTTATTTTTAATAATTTTTCATTAGATATGTTTTTTAATTTTTTTTTTAATTTGTCAAATTGGCTAAATAAAGCAACGAATGAAAATTGAGAGTTTGTGCTCGTCTTATGATCACTTCTTTGACAAGATTAAGTCGATTTTAATCAAAGGATCACGTCTTATGATATCAATTTGGCTTTCTGTTCCATAACCTATATCATATCTTACCAAAATTTAGCTATATGATTCATAGAAACTCCATCATCCACAAACCACGAATAATAAATAACAATAATTTATATCATTGCATTATTATAGTTACAATAATAAAAGCAGACCATTTGGTTTACAATTTCATCAGCCGACTCTAGCAAGTGTACTCGCATTGGCACACATTAAAATCACCAAGCAGGAGACAAGATCCACGTCCAGCATAATACTTTTTTGAGCAATTCCAATTACAACATTTACTAGAACAAGTATCAGTGCACAGACCCATCGCACCAGGGCACACCTTGAGCGGTATAGATGGTCTACAATGGAAGACGCACGTGCATAATCCACCACCAGGACCGATACAATGGGTTTGGACCGATGGCCCGTATTTGGCCAGGCATTTCTGGTCACAGTTTTCACAGGGACCTAGAGTCTCGCTGCATGTATCTGTTCTACTCTGATTCACAACTGCAGCATTATATCCATCATTCATTTTTTTAACATTAAAATATTATCCTAGTTTTATTTGTTAGATTTGTACATTTGTTAATGATTTAGACATGTTAAGTCTTTGTGTCCTCATTGTAAAAAAATAATCATTTAAAAAAAAAATCATATTACTGTCCTACCAAATTCTTGTATTTTGGAGAAGTGACTCTCTCGGCATTAGCAAAACTTTTTTTATCGTCATCACAGAATTATAAGTTTAGAACATTGTAATTTTAAGTTTAATTTATCGAGTGATTAAAAGAAACATAATAATTGAGATATAATACCTGAGGTAAACATGATAAATAAGCTAACAAGGAATAAGAGTGAAGTTATCCTCTGCATTTTTTCACGTTTTCACGTTTTCTTCTAAATTCCTTTCTATAAGATAAATTGCTTATATGTTATTGGGACATTTAGTTCATCTATTTAATAGCAAACTCAAGAGCTCCAAATTAAAAGATTGTATATGGGAGATTTGCTTTTCACTTTTAAAAATGAGATGTCAAAAAAAAAAACTAAAAATGAGGGCATTAATTTCCCGTACATAAATATGTTACTATTCTTTTTCAAATGTAATTAAAGATTTATTGACAAAAGGTATGTACAAAATCTATGGTCTTTAAAAAAAGAAAATCTATGATCTTTCTAACTTTTCTTAGCCTCAGAGATAGTCCAAGATTACCAAAAGAATAGCTCTCTGTTTGGGAGAAAAAACATACATAAATGGTTGAAGAACAGACGATACAGTTAACGTCGTCAGATCATTTCTACGGCCTCTATAGGGAATAATATATAGATTTACGTGTTAGTTTATTTCTAAAACAAATATGAAATACACGACAAACCACAAGATTACGTTCCATACTTCCATAAAAGAAGAATGAGAATAGTGGTTCCATTCTGTATACTTATATGAATCACAACTTCCCTCTCTTCCTTGGGTGAAAATTCCTGTCGAACAAAGGCAAAGAGGTGACATCTGCCACTGTTGTAAAGTTCTGAGAATGAAACAATGGCGTAAGAGGATTTGCTTCAGATTGATGGGAAATTCCGAATCACCCTAACAATTGGCTGTTAGAGTAAGAGAGCTACTTAGACCATTAATGCCATAGTGTTTAGCCCGTTTTTCTAGAATTAATTTCGTTGGTGTTAACTTTTTAAACTCCTTACCTTCAGTATGAATACCTAATCGTGTGATGTTTGTTATATTGAAGTGTTTGATTGACAAACAAAAAAAAAAATATCTCACAAAATTATAAAATTAAACATGTTTAATTTATAAACACTTATGATTTATGACTAAAGGGTGGTTTCACACTGTTGGAAATAAGCGAAGTTCCATCTTGTGAAACGTAACTCTAAAGATACTTCAGTTCTAGAATTTAGTTGATTTGGTCTCATTTCGTGAGACAAAATTCGGATTGATACGAAGAAAACTATTTTAGTTGTGTAACCTTTACGGCCAACATCAAACTATAACTAACGCTGTGTTCTACAAATTAAATTGAAATCAAAGGTTCGATCGAAATATCTCTTTAAAATATTATGAAAGACTGTAGAACCTATGATTTTTGACATTCAAATTAGGTTTTTTGCTTATACATTTTGAAGAATTTGAGATTTCAAAGTACATGCCAAAATCACATATGAGTCTTATCACCCGGACAAGGATAGGTGCAAATACATCTTCCAGCTGCATAGTCGCGGTCACAGAAAGCCCTTGCAATTGGTCCATGTTTAGATTTGCACGCTTTTGTGCAATCAAAATCACCACACGAGCCAAGAACATCCATACATCCCGCTCCCATATTTTGCTCAACTATATATCAAACAAAACATAAAAAAAATTATTAGTACTAAAGAGATATCAATACACTGCAAATGAATTAGCCAAAAACTAATAATTACAATAGATTTATGTGAAGATTGTATATTATTGCTATGCGTATACCACAAACGTAAAATGTATACCTAAGACAAACATCACAATGAATTACAAGCCTACAACATTTTTGACATATGTCAACGAGTTGAGCTGTAACTAAAGTAAATATTCAAAAAGTTGAATATATTTTATCAATCTTACGATTAATGAATACCTAGAGCAAACAACACGAGGAAGATAATGGGGAGAACAAGTAAAGAAGTTGCCTTAGCCATATTTGTTTTTACTCTTTTTTTTTTCTTTCTCTTTAAATTAGTTACTAATATACTGAATATTGATAGACCTACAAAACTGGGAGACACTGAGAAAATATTTATAGTACAATGAGGTAACCAAGAATTACAATTACTTACCATTATATGCTTGATAAACAAATTGTATATTTGACTGTAATTACAAATTTTACGATGACGAAATCATATAAATATGGAAGTTCAATTATGTCACGTTGAATACAATGGTTTTGATACTTTATTTAAATATATGATAAGCTTTTATTTTTACTATCCAATATATTGGACTCTTTTTTTTCAAAATCCTTCACCAATATAAAAAAGTATAATAAATACACATAAAGAAAAATATGTTGACTGTTGACTAGAAAATATGCCGGGTACTATTATGGAAATATCTTATTTTCTTCTTTATTTGGATATATGTTTCTCACTCAGATTGCAAACTAGGATAGTACTAAGTATGTCCTCAAAATGCGAGTAACTTCTGTAGTTCTGTGGGGAATCCTTCAATGTAATTAGTACAGAGGTTTCGAAGTTTTAGTTTTAATCATTGATTGGTAGTTAATCGCTCATATGAGCCGGAAAAAAACAAAAATTGCTCATATGTTCTCCGGCCAAATTCTATGTTGATGTTAGAGTGAGTGTAGAGTATTATTCATTACTTCACAAGATTTAAATTTTAGAGGAAACTTCAAATGTGTACTTACCGAAAAACTTGGCACTTGTTTTTTTTTGTACGTTGTTTTTGTTTTCTAAATAAAATATGTTTTTGACGTAATAAAAAATTATGTTTTTGTTTATTTTTTTATTTGGCAATATCTCGAAACATTTTGTAACAAGTTTGGGTGATTTTTTTTTTTTGAAACGTATAGTAAACTATATGTAATAGTAAATTTAGCTAAGATATTCAATTTAGTTCATAGAAACTACGTCATCTACAAACCAAGAATAAGAGTATAATTGATAATATTTTATCAACGTACGCTTTATTGAAGTTAATCATTATTAAACCAAAAAAATTGCCCGTTTACAAATTTATCAACCAGCTTTAGCAAGGGTACGTGCATTGGCACAAACGATAATTACCGATGGAGCTACAAAATCCACGTCCACCCTTATACTTTTGTGCACAGTTTGTATCACAACATTTATCAGGACAGCTTTGACTACATATACCAGCGCCACCATCGCAAATCTTAGGTGGAGTCGGGCTGGGTGGTCCACATTGGTAGTAACACGTGCACAGAGGCACCCCAACAGAGCGATCACAGGAGCTTTGGCTCGATGGCCCGTGTTTGGCCTTGCATCTCTGGTCGCAGTTTTCGCATGTGCCTAGACCTTCGCTGCATGTGTTTGCTCTGGTCTGATTCACAACTGTAACATAATATACATCATTAAACTCAACATCAAATAAATGTAAGAAAAATTTATCTAATAGATAAAAATAAACGTTGACAAAAAAAACAATAACAATTGAAAGATATAATAATACCAGAGGCAAACACGATCAGTAAGCTAACAAGGAATGCAAGTGAAGTTATCCTCTCCATATTTTCACGTGTTCTAGTTTTCTTCAAAACTTATATTTTCTCTGAGGTTTTTTTGCTTCTATTGTACGGGGGCATTTGTTCATCTATTTAAAGATGAGGACTCCAATTCAAAGAGTATAATTTTTTCCAAAATTTTAGATATCGGTCAAAAGAGATTTGATTATTGCCTTTAAATTCTATTTGAAAATCATCATTATTGCTACTTTATATTTTATTCTAAAAATAGAGTTTTTTTTTTTTGTTTTTGGGTCAATGGAGTAGTCGCAAATGAAAAATTAGAGAAAGACCAGACGGAGCACCTTGCGATACGTTTATCCTCTCTCTTTTTTTTTTTGGTCAATGCAAATTAGGTCTGGGCAAAAAACCCGGATCCGAATATCCAAACCGGAACCGAACCGAAATGAAGGTACCGAATCCGAACCGAAATTTTTAAAAATATCCGATAGATCTTAAACTCTTATACCCGAAGAACCAGAACCGAACTAGTACCGAACCGAGAACCGATTGGGTACCCGAATTATCCAAAGTATAATTATATATCCTTCTAAATATTTTTTTTTTTGATATTTTTGATATTTGATATATATTTCTGGCTTTACAGATATATTTTCTTTATTTTTGGGACTTTTGGGTATATTTTTAAGTTTTGATATATATATATTTTTGAATTTTTGTTATTAAAAAAGTGTGAGTCGAATTAAAAATTTGAGGTAAAAGATTCGGATCCGATTATCCGAACCGGAACCGAACCGAAATAAAGATACCGAACCCGAACCGAAATTTATAAAAATATCCGATGGATCCTAACTTCCTCTACCCGAAATATCCAGAACCGATTGGTTCCGAACCGAAACCGAACCGAATATCCGAATGCCCAGACCTAATGCAAATCATTTATTCATCAATAAATTTTCGTTTTTTTCCCCTTGCTAGAGTCTGCAGAAAGATAGTCATCGCTAAACCAATTTTAAGTCAATTATAATGTTTTATCTTCAGTTATAAACTTATACGCATCAATTCTGAATGAAAAACCCAAAAACCAATCCGGTTTATAAATCCAAGATAATAACCGGCTCTAGCAACAAGGGACAATTTTAAACACTGACAGAGACGAATGGTACCAACGGATTATAAATACCCAGCGGTGCCTATCTTTATAGGGAAAAAAATAGCATTTTCCTTAGGCCACAATAGATATAGGAGTTTCATAAGCCCCATTTAAAAAAATATTTCTAGTTCAATTGGTCAGCCATTATTCAAGGCTCGGAAACTAGGGCAGTAAGTCTAATTTCGCCGGTGCCAGTATTATAGTTGGATTGTTGGAACTTGTAACCATAAGGAAAAGAGAAAAAAAATCCGATGATATTATCACCAGAACTTAACGAATACTGAAAATTAACACTAGGATTCTGCTCTTTACTTTTATTCATATCAAAGGCTCGGTCGGAAATGTTTAAAAATATTACGGAATATTGTAACATCTACGGTTTTGACATTATTTCGAATTTTTGTTTCTTGTACATATATATAGACGACCATATATATATATATATATATGAGATTTTAAAGTAGTGCAAAATCACATATGAGTTTCATTGGTTGGACAAATGTAAACGCAAAGACATGTTCCAGCACCTCCGGAACGGTCACAGTAACCACGTGTATTTGGTCCAAATTGAACCTTGCATGACCCACTGCAATCTGTAAAGATAGCGCACGAGCCAAGAATTGCCATGCAGCCCATATTCTGCTCAGCTATATCAAAGAAAACCTTTTTTGTTAGATTTAGAAAACAAAAACTTATTAGTACTTGCGAGATATCAATATTTATGAGACATATATACCCATGAATAAAAGCGAAATGAAAGTAAGTAATCTATAAAACTTTTGAAAACTGCTATAAGTAACCGTTAATGTAAATGTATATCTGACGACAAAAAAAAAACATATGTAAATGTGTACCTAAGGCTAATATCACAAGAAAGATGATGGGGAGAACAAGTGAAGAAGTTATCTTGGCCATGATGTTTTTTCTTTGCTCTCTTAAAATTATATACTATTCCCTCCGGATTTATTTAGTTGTCGTTTTAAGGTTATACACACAAATTAAAAAAATATTAATTGTATTAGCTTTTCAATATAAAAACATCATTAATTATCTATTTAAATACAATTCAACCAATAATAAAACAAATTGCATAATAAAAATAATTATAAAAAATAAAAAACTAATAAATGTTGCATTGAAAACTGAAAATGACAACTAATTTAAAACAAACAAAATTCTCTAAAACGACAACTAATAAAAAACGGAGGGAGTATGATTTTAGTTGATAGATCTGAAGATTGAGAGACAACTAAAAGGAGATTTATATAATTACGGAGTGACTAATTATCGGAAATACATTAATTTACCATTACAAAAAAAAATTATTTGACTGCAAATTTATGAGTCAGACTTATAAGTTATAAATATGTAAATTCACTTATGTGATGTTCAATCCAATAGTAGCTTTGGTATGTTTTTAACTTTGTCAACTAGTTTTGGTGTATTCTAAGAGTTGAATAAATAAATTTCGGTGTTGGACTTATTATTTTGTCAACTATCTTATTATTTGATTTCATTGTAAAATTATTTAATGGGGCTAAATTAAGGTTTTTTAGGGCTTTAATTCGATTCTGAACTATATTAATGGGGCTAAAATGCTATGGACGATTAATATTTAATTCTAAATTGCTAGATTAGGCAATATACAAGTGAGAGAGAAAATTTTAGAAAAATATAAGAGAATCAATTTCGTTTTAAAATATATTTTTAAACAAAAATTTGCAGTATTAAATATTTTGCAACAAAATGGACAGTTTGACGTTGTCTTTGGAATCAGGTTCGAACCCTATGATCCTAAATTTTGTTATCAAAGCCTGACCATACTCGATGGTTCTCAAATCATGATATGGGACCATGGATCATCAAACTTGTATCATGTGAACATGGACTTTACTTATCCGATCCTAATCACTAATTCATAAATCATAAATTTTTATTTTTGAACCAATCATGTTCTATAATAACGCCCGATCAACAACAACTCAATATTTAGAGCCATTAGTGGCCCATTACTCAAGGATCCAGTTATGCCCATGGATCAAAGCCGGTCAACAATGACTTTGTCATATATAATTGGAACAATCACTCAAGGATCCGATCAGTTAAAAAAATTTCCCAAATCCTAACCGAGTTTTTGGAACATGGTGTCAGATTTTTGAGTTTAACTCAGGAAGACCATATTAAGGACCAACAGACTGATCCCCAAAAGGAAATTTAAAACTATATTTTTTTGAAATTAAAACTATATATTGATCATTTGAAAAAGATTTATATGGATAATCTTAAGATAGAATGCATACCTAAGGCTAACATCACAAAGATGATGATGATGGGGAAAATAAGTGAAGAAGCTGCCTTGGCCATAGTTTTGTTTTTCTTTGTCCTCTTAGAATTAACACTATTTTTGTTGGTAAATCTGAAAAAGGGAAGACTACTAAAAGGGATTTATAGAGTAAAGGTGACCAAATTTCGAGATGACAACTATTTACCCTACTGTTTTATATTATACTCCTATCAGACTTTCCAACGTAACGCATCATAAAATGTTTACTAGACTAATTATAGTTCATTAGACTACAACACGTGTTAATACATCTTGAAAAATGTAGATCCTGTTATTAATAAAAATTAACTATTTTGAACAACAGTTATTTTATTTTGATATGGCTTTACAAATAAAAATGGAGTATTAGTTTGGTATTATAGGACAATTAGGATTCCAAAATTTTCGATGAACTTTTCGTTTTATTAGAAACACTTTTATTATTCAATAAATTTTCATATAACTACAACTTTAAAATTATTTCGAAATTTGATAACAACTTATACAATTGAAGACTTTGAGATTTAAAACAGTGCAGAAATCATATATGAGTTTTATCATTCGGACAAGGGTAAACACAAACACATCGTCTAATACCACCGTCGGGCAGACATAAGGAATTTGTAGTTGGTCCAAATCTAGACTTGCATGTGGCACCGCAGTTAATGAGATCACAATCGTCAAGAATTGCTAGACATCCCATATTCTCTTCAACTATATTTAACAAAAATGTTTTTAATGATTAAATAACACAGAAATTACTAGTACGCTATATATGAATACAGTCGAAACTAAGTAATTTGTTATTAAAATAACAATCTGGATATATCTATGATCAAAATATGATAAGTATATACCTAAGGAAAACATCATAAGGAAGATGATGGAGAGAACAAGCGAAGAAGTTGTCTTGGCCATATTTCTGTGTTTTCTCTCTTAAAACAGAGTGAATTTAGTTGATAAATTTGAAAATCTGGGTACCAGTGAAAAGGGATTTATACCATTACGAAGTTACTAAGTTTTAGAAGTACAGTTATTTACCATTATATCGTTGACCAAAATATTATTGAACCGTAATTTTTATGTTAATGACATACAAGTTCACTCATATCATGTTAAATATAATATTTTTGGCAAGATACTAAAAAAAAATACAACACATCTTTGTTTAAAGAATAGGAAACTAGAGTATAAAATTATTAATTTTTATCCTTTAAATATTAATTGAATAATAGACTACATAAATTTATAACTTTTACAAATCCTGAGTTCCAAAAGTTTATAAAAAATTAATAACATTTCACAAACAATGAAATTTCAGAAGTTGTTACATATATAATTGAAAATATTCTTAATTAATTGACTTTTTGATAATATATTTTCTATCAAGAAGTTTGTGGTCTTTGCTTCGTAATTTCTCTGGACCAGAGAGTAGAGCATGTTAATTTAAATTTATTCCCCATCTCTATACAGTTCTAACTCTAATGATCCAAAAACAAAGGAACACATGATCTTATCCATGAAAATGCAGGGATATATGTGTATAATACGGTTTACTTAGGATATTTAAGTTGAATTTTCTCATTAAAAAAGTTAACCAGTTTTATTTCGAAAACATCAAATAGTTTTAGCAAGGATATTGACATTTGCAAAGAAAAATAGCGCCAATGCTGTCACAAAATCCAGCTCCATGCAAATACATGCTTGCACAAATTTGGTTGCAACATTGGTTTGAACATTTTTGGCTGCACCGGCCAGCTCCGCCATAACAAACTTTGGGCGGCGGCGGTCCACACTCGTAGTAGCACATGCACTCTTTATTAGAAGTGCCTTCACAAGTACCTTTGCCCGTTGGTCCGTGCTTAGTCTTGCATCTCTCATCACACTTTTCACAATCACCCATAAGGTCGTTGCAAGGTTTTGCCACCACCTTATCCGTAACTATAAAACGTGTATGCATAATTATAATTTCAAAGAAGAAAAATTATATAATCGTAGTAGATGTATTTTAGAAAAAAAAAAGAAAAATAAAGGACTGTCAAATTGTTTTATTATGATAGTTATGTCGAGATTAATATTTTAATTTTTCGCAAATAATAATAAATAAATAATGAGTCTGTTAACAGAGATCATTTCATAGTAATTGCATTCAGTGTCGCCAAATTAATTAAACGTCTCAACGGTGGCCAATTTTTTTTTTGGTGACTGTTTATAAACTTTTGACACAAATGGTAACTATATTGTCAGGCGAACACCCCAAAAGGTCCAAACATTCAAAACCTAATTAATCTATAGATTTTAGAGGTCATACCGGAAGAAAGCATGATGAAGAAGATGAATAAAACTACAAGTGAAGATTCTTTCTCCATATTTTTTTCTTTCTTTCACAAGTTGTTTTGTTTGAGATAAAGATCAGTGTCGACATTTAGTGTCTATATATAATTTCATGACTCAATTTTAACTTTGATAATCTATTGACACAGGTATGTATTAAGTTAAACGGAATCTTTCATTGTTTCAAAAAATGTTAATGGTTACGTTTTCCTTGTAGATCTCAAGTTGAACTACTCATAGCTATTTTTCACCATATTTAGTTTTTTGTTTTGCTCTTTTTAAAATAGTTTATTAATTACGACTATTAATGACTATCAATACTTGAATAGGTATTTTTATTAAAATGTTGTTTCTTTTTCATTTTTAATTATATATCATACATGTTGTCAATATTTTGTCCTATTTAAAGTGAAATCTCAAACAACTTTTACTGAACTAATCTAAATTGTAGATATTTAATAATGATATTTAAAAATATACTCAATTTTTAAATAATCATTATTAAATATCTACAATTTAGAGTATTTTCTTTTTATTATTTCATCAACCTTATTATTTTTGGGTCTTGTCTTTTAATTTTTTATCCATTAGTTTGATACGGCTTGATTTCATGATTTGTTTGTATTATAGAATCCCACATAAGAAAGAGAATAAAAAATCTTAAATAATAACATAATAGGATGAACTAATCGACTAATAAGTATGAGTTCAAAACATATATTTTTTTAATATAGTTTTAGGGTCCCATCAAACTGCCCACCCGATCTTGATCTAACGCAGCCGACCCGAACGGCTAAATACGTTCAAACATACCAAAATATATGATTAAAAAAAGTCACCATCATAAAACTTATCGAAAATGTGAGAAGTATTAGCTCAAAAAAAAGAAATTGTAAGAAGTGAAAAAATATCAAAAAATAGTATATAAGAAACATGGTAAATCTATTCATTACCAATTGATTTTAAATTAAAATATATTATAAATCTATTTATTACCAATTGATTTTAAATTAAAATATCTTATAAACTTTAACAATAAGTCCATGTGAAAAAGTCTATCTTTTTCTTTCTTTTCCAATTCAATCTTTTTTAGTTAGATTAGATATTAAAGTTTTAAAATAAAATAGAAAATAAATGTAAGTGATATATATCTCAACTAGGGGTGGGTTAAATGAAGTCTATCTAGCGATGGAATATTTAACTATTAGCAAAAAGTACTCTATATATATATATATATCAATTAAGGGTGGATTAAAGGAAGTGAGGGCATGCAATGCATGGCCTCAGGCAATATTGATCATTTGTTTGACCAATATAGAATAATAATGTGGACATCGTGCATGGCTGGCTAAGATCACATGAAAATTTATGTCAAGATGCTCAATTTTCATTCATTTTTCATATAAAGAAAAGATGTAACTGGAGTTTACACTTGAATCGGTCTGGCAAAGAAGGTTCCTCCAAATTCATGAACTTTAAAATAACAAAAAATAATGATCCAAGTGGATGAATTATGCTGCCTACCAATTGTATATATATATATATATTAGAGTAGCCAATTGGCTCTCATATGCAAAGTCAGAACTAATTTTCAAACCAAAGTCTTATCTGAATTTTAACCCAAAAGAAAAAGTCTTATATGATAATTTGAAATGTTCATATATTAGTACTAATTTGCTAGATCCTTAATGACTTTGATCCATCGCTAGGACTGAACACAACACTCCTACGCGCCTTCTTGGATGGGTACCAAATTGGCTAACGACTTAATGACTTGCTATAAGTTTGAGCTAATATTTAATAGAGTAACAAAGGCTAAGAAAAAAAAATTGTTACACAAAAAAAAACAAAAGCTAAAATCGACCTTTTGAGTCTCAGATTCAACGGATCCTATATATTTATATCCAAATCCAACCAAATAAATCCAAAAATCCAATGTATGCCCATGACATTGCATGGGATGCGAAAGTGATAAACGTGCGAGTGGTAGATCCGTAGATGCAGACTTTTAATATACTTTTTCTCAACAAAATAAGTTTATAGCAAATTACTAATACATTTCTTATAGAATGAAACATATTAAAATTCATATCATTATTACATTATTACTCAAATTTATGATAGTACATTATCTTTTGGTAACAGACAAAATAGTAACTGTTATTTCAAAAAGCCCTTGTTAAATTAATTACTAAACTTTTGATTACCAAATTAGTGAGCTACAGAGACGTCAAAAAAAAAAAAAAAATTAGTCAGCCACCGGCCCACAGTCGTCCAAAAATCATGGAAAAGACAAGCAGTACTCTCATCTGACCATTAAAAATTTTACACGTCATATGGTTAATTATAATGCTATTAGTTTCAATGTTAATTTTTTTCCGCCAATGCATTTCCTTTGATGTAATTAATCTAAAAGCATAGTCTTAAATATTAATCTCTGCCTCAAAATTTGCTTCCTCTGTTTTGAACCCAATTGCCTTCTTCTTCTTCATCATCATCATCATCATTTTCTCTGTAGCTCTTTCACAGGCATTGCTTCATTTCATAGCGAAAGAGAGAGAGAGAGTGTGTGTGTGTGAAGGAGAGAAAACGAAACGAATCCGTGAGAGGAAAACAACAGAAGGAAACTTTGAAACTGCCAAGGGAGGTTTGTTTACATGCGTGCATAAACATACGATCAAGGCGATATACAAAGATACGTTTCATTTGCGTACCTTAGCTCTCGAGAGTTTGAATTTTCTCGGATTTTCCCGAGATCGGGAAACGGACAAGATATAGAAATCTAGCACATCAAGACGGCGATACGGAGACTCTTGAGTCTGTGACTGGATCTGGTTACCGTTTGAAAATCTCAGGTTCGATTCTTCACATTGTTTCTCGTTTGATGCGTGAATGCGTTGGGTGTTATGGTGTTTGATTTCAATTTTGAATTAGATTATTATGTTTGGGCGATGCGATTAGCTAGGAAGGGATCGGAATGTGCTTCCGATGTGTGTAAATTGTAATTGAAATTGAACGGAAGTGGAGGTCTTGATTTCATCTGATCTCGTTCTGCTCAGATGTTTTTCCGGGAAAATCGGATAATTTTCCGAGAAAATATGTTCGTAAGTTCCTGAAAAGCATTTATCTCGTGACGCATTCGTGGAAACCGTTGAATGGAGTAATTTACACATCTCTGTCGTTTGAATTGGCTTTAGGAACTGTAAGGCTGGTTTGACTTTCCTTGGTTTCGTGGATAGCTAGAACAACTTAGTTGTTGGACTAATCTTATAAGAAATGAATTGAAATTGAAAACTTCTTTCTTGTGTTTCTTTTGGATTGTATATTCATTATTGTTTCTATTTCTATAACTGTACAGGTTTGACTAATCCTAATTGACCAGAGGAATCATATTATCAGAAGTTGGCTTTGTTCATCTAGATTAGGCATTGAGTGAAGAAATTTTCTTGTGGCTCTGAAAACAAAGGTTTGATGAGATGAAGGGAGCTAAAAGGTGGAGTCTAGGCAACCTAAGGGATATGGCGTCTTTGCCTGGAGCTCGCCACCGTGCTCTTACAAGAAGACGAGTATGGATCATTATGGTGCTTTCACTGATCAGCATGTTCGCTATTGTCGCTTACATGTACCCTCATCACAGTAAACGTGCGTGTTATATGATCTCATCAAGAGGATGCAAGGCTTTGGCTGATTGGCTTCCACCTTCTCTGAGGGAATATTCAGATGATGAGATTGCAGCTCGCGTAGTGATTAGAGAAATATTGAGTTACCCTCCTGTCATAAGAAAGAACTCCAAAGTTGCATTCATGTTCTTGACTCCCGGTACACTGCCTTTCGAGAGGCTGTGGAACAGATTTTTTCAGGTATAAACTTTTGTTCTTACTTAATGAAAAATGGCAAGTAACAGGTATTGGCTTGAATAGGCCTTAAAGAACCTGCAATTTTTCAGGATCTAGTATGCAGATAGTTTGTTTTTGAACTAAATTCCTTGGCTGATGGTTTTAGAGATTTGTCCTTTCTTACAGGGCCATGAAGGGAAATTCTCTGTTTATATACATGCATCAAAGGAAAGGCCAGTTCACTACAGTCGTTACTTTGTCAACCGTGAAATTCGCAGTGATGAGGTTAGTCTCTTTTTTTATCCTTGTCTGATGCCTCCTATCATTGTAGACTTTATATTCTTTTACTACAACATGTAAATGAATGTGTACTTTTATCTGCAGGTAGTGTGGGGAAGAATATCAATGGTCGACGCAGAGAGACGGTTGCTATCTAATGCTCTTAGAGACCCTGCAAACCAGCAGTTTGTTTTACTCTCTGATAGGTGATTTTTTGATTTCCTGCAACCCTTTCTCATTGAACACTCTGTCTCTGAGGTTTCCTAACACTTTTGAGTGTTTCTGATTTTGCAGTTGTGTACCACTTCGGAGTTTTGAATACATTTACAATTACCTAATGTACAGTAATATCAGCTATGTTGACTGGTAAGAAGTCATGTTCCATCAGCTTGGCAAATATCACCTTTCACTCTTCTTCACAACTTCTTCATCCTTATGTGTAAATGATTCCCTTCTGTTTGTCAGCTTTGACGATCCAGGCCAACATGGATCAGGCAGGCATATGAATCACATGTTGCCAGAAATTCCAAAGAAGGATTTTCGAAAGGGTGCACAGGTAAAACAATGTTGTCATTGATTCAGTAATTATGCTCACCTGCATTATATAACAAACACTAAGGAATACAAGGAACTTGTTCTGTTTCAATGTTCCCAAATCTACATTCGTACCCGTAATTCTTCCTTTTTAGTGATGAATTATTGCTACCGTGCAGTGGTTCACCATGAAGAGACAACACGCTGTGGCAACTATGGCAGACAGTCTTTACTACTCTAAATTCCGGGATTACTGTGGGGTAAGTATCAGGCTAAAGTCCCCCAAAATACATGTTTCTTCTACCTTCCGTTCACTTTTTTACAAAGTCATAACATATTTGTAAATGACCACTCATTAATAAGAAAAGCTTGCATTTTGTTTTCTTCAGCCAGGTATAGAGAACAACAAGAATTGCATAGCTGATGAACATTATCTGCCAACATTCTTTCATGTAAGAACTCGTTTCAACTCAAAAAAGAAAAGAATAATCTCCTATATCTTCTTCATCTCTTATACGTTTTGGTTGCAGATGCTCGATCCCGGTGGCATCTCTAACTGGACTGTAACAAAAGTTGATTGGTCCGAGAGAAAGTGGCATCCCAAAACATATATGCCTGAGGATATCACACACGAGTTACTAAACAACCTCACGGTAAATAATTTATATAACCAAACACTATCATCTCCGCAATCAGTATCCTCCATTGCTTCAATTAATGAAATCAAACTTTGAAACTTTTGATTCATCCATCTGCAGTCTACAGACACAGTCGTACATGTCACAAGTGTTGGAATGGTACGCGCTTTCGAAACCAGTTGTTTCCACTGTATTTTTAGCTCTGATAATAATATTCAGGATTTATAATACTTTCTTTTGGTTAATAACAGGGTGAAGAAATATGGATGCCTTGTATGTGGAACGGAATCAAAAGACCTTGCTACTTGTTTGGAAGGAAATTTCACCCGGATACGCTCGACAAACTGTTGGATCTATTCTCAAATTACACAAGATCGGTCTCTTGGAATTTGTGATTACAAAGGGTATTTCTTCTATACACTCAGATTCTTTGACCAACGTTTGATTTCCCACCCACATGAATCAAAATCACCTTTGAAGAGTATTCTCAGAAAGATCCATAGAAGCTGTAACACTAGAAGTCTAGAAGCTTAGGGAGGTTTTGAGAACTTTTTTCAACTTTGATGCTTCAATTGGTTGGAGGGAGACGTTGGTTTTATTTTTTCTCTACTCTGTTCTTTCGTTACATGACATCTCATATTGTTACTTCAACTATTGTGAAAAATAGAATTTTCGACTGTTTTTCTTTTTTGATAGATTTTTGTTTTTGTTCAGAATGATGAAGAAACAAACTTTTTACAGGTTTAAAGAGTTTCTTTCCACGTCTATATGTTCTTTGGTTTAGAGGCTTGACCTGAAACACGGTTATAAAATATTCAGAGAGACTAACATTGTGTTTATAACTAAAAAAAGACTAACCAGTTCCAAGACTTGGTCATATGGACTGGGCAAGCGATCTTCTATTGCCACATGATGGTCGCTGGAACCTGTTACTCATAGTCATATTAGTCAATGAAGATGGATTAATGTTGAAAGTTGTTATCTTGTTTAATCAATTTTTTTTTTATTTTTTTTCAGCGCAAGACCCGTTATAATCTTTACATGTAATCAAATTTAAGATTAGTAAAAGAAAAGAGTTAGAAGCACATTTTTACGACAAACAAGAAAGATTGGTAGTTAAGGCTTAAGGGAATAACAAAGCTAAAACAGAGGATTTTTTACGTTCCTTTCTTTCAACAACAACAGAACAATGTGGTACTTATTTATACACACTTTTTTGATTGGTCAATAACATGGTACTAATATCCGTGATCAAACGACTACCAAATTTAAAAATAATACATGGTGTTGGGGCCATATTTGACTCCACTACTAATATCAATGAATCATGCAGGAAAATAACCTTTCCGAAAACGAAAAAGAAGTTCACAGAAAGAGTCAATGCCATTTTTTCTTGGACTCATACTAAAAGGACCGGAACGATAACCAGATTCTTATTTATCAAATGGCCATCTCTCTAACATTACGTACTACACTTCTTCTCTTTCTAATCACTCTCACGTGTCCGAAACAATGCACATCGCATGCCCCACTTACGCTAAAGCTATTATTACACACAAAATCAACCAAACCCCAAGAATCATCGAAGAAAAAAACCGGTTACTTGCATTCCAAGTCAACACCCTCTTCTCATCTAGATAACTCGTGGACCACGGACACATCAGGTATCGTCTCACATGTCACTCCAATTCCGAATCCAGCAGCATTCCTCGCGAACATTTCTATCGGAAACCCACCAGTTTCGCAGCTCCTACTCATAGACACAGGTAGTGACCTAACTTGGATCCAGTGTCTTCCCTGCAAATGTTACCCTCAAACAATTCCTTTTTTTCACCCTTCTAGATCTTCCACTTACCGTAACGCTTCCTGCGAATCCGCACCAAACGCCATGCCACGAATATTTCGCGATGAAAACACCGGAAATTGCCGTTACTCCCTCCGTTACCGAGACTTTTCGAGCACAAGAGGCATTTTAGCTAAGGAAAGTCTCACCTTTCAAACATCCGACGACGGTTTAATCACTAAACCGGACGTTGTTTTCGGCTGCGGACAAGACAACTCCGGTTTCACTCAATACAGCGGTGTGCTCGGTTTAGGACCCGGTAAATTCTCGATTGTAACCCGCAATTTCGGTTCTAGATTCTCTTACTGTTTCGGTAGCTTAACCGATCCAACTTACCCTTACAACATTCTCATCCTCGGAGAAGGCGCCAAAATCGAAGGCGATCCAACCCCTTTACATATTTCTCAAGACCGTTACTACCTTGACCTGCAAGCAATCTCCTTGGGAGAGAATCTTCTCGATATCGAACCCTATGTTTTCAAGAGATATGGATCCCACCAAGGAGGTACAGTCATCGACACGGGCTGCTCACCGACGATCTTAGCCAGAGAAGCTTACGAGACGCTCTCTGGAGAAATTGATGATCTTCTTCTGGGAGAAGTTATGATCAGACACGTTGAAGGTTGGGAGCCATACACGAACCCTTGTTATGTAGGGAATATGAAACTTAATCTTTTGGGATTTCCCGTTGTCACGTTTCATTTCGCCGGCGGCGCTGAGCTGGCGCTAGACGTTGAGAGTTTGTTTGTTAGCAGTGAAAGTGGAGATAGCTTTTGCTTGGCTATGAGTATGAACACGTTCGATGATATGAGTGTAATTGGTGCTATGGCTCAGCAGAGTTATAATGTTGGTTATGATCTTCAAAACATGAACGTATATTTCCAGAGGACTGACTGTGAGATTCTTGATGCTTAATATTCAAATGTTTTTTAAACATATTTATTGGTTTTAGTTTTGCGCAAGACTCATTGTAATCTATACATGTATTTATATTCAAGATTAGAATAAGCCAAAAAAAAGAGGAAGAGTTCGAGTCGTGCAAAGAAAGTATCACATTTTTTTGTAAATTTTTTATTTTAGAACAAAACTAGAAAGATTCTACAGGAATAACAGAGCTAAAACAGAGGATTTTGTTTTTATGGAACTCTAAAGAAAATATGAACTTTTGGTAAGTTATATCAATAAATATCAGAGTTTGGTAAGTGATAATTATCATACATGTGCATTTAGTTTTATATAGTTAGATGATTATCTTTTTTATAAAAAAAATAAAAAGGGAATGACAACAGGAGGATTTTGTTTGATTTATTATATTCAAGATCAAACAATATCGCTATGATAAATTCGCGATTAACATTTTATTCCTCTCATGAAACAATCGATAATCACACAGATAATGCCTGTAATATCTATAATGACAAAACTCCTCGTGGACAAGACTTCTGGTACCGGCTTCATTGTTGACAATGTATCAATACATGTATGCATATTTGGAAATGTACCGGCGTTGTACAGGTGTGCGAGGTAGTAGTCCTTGGCTGCCAAAGAATTGGGGGAATCATCTATACCAGCAAGAGCACCTTCATATAGTTGTTCACAATCTTTCATTTTCCGCATATCTGTCGTGTTGCCTCTGAACAACTTTATTTGCTTCAATGTGTCTGAAACATTTCGAGACTGATAATCGATCAAAAATTTAACGAGGCTAGGCAAATCCGATTTTGCAGTTTCAGGGGTTGCTTTTAGGATCTCAAAACAAAGTGAAGAATTGATATCCATATCTTTCTTTGTGCAGATGCTTTTCGATCTCATCTTTTGTAACCATCATCATACTAGATCTTGCATATGATGAGACAACAAAAAGAAGTAAAACCAGTATATGAGCCAATGAAAAGTTTTTTCTTACGTATACAACCATTTTTCTTGTTCCAAATGTCTGAGAAATGTCTGAGACCTTATGTGAGATTTATATTGACTGAAAGTCTGAAACATATCTTCAAATTTATGTCTTCAGATTTTTTTTTTCATTAATGCTAACAGATTATGTACTTTAGTAAAATGATTTGAATTAATAGCACCAAATGTCAAACGGTCAAAGCATGCAATGTTTTTTATTTTGTAGTTTAGATAACTTCTTAAATTGCATATTTTGTTGATGTAAGAATATATAAAATAATTTAAATGAATCACACAAAAAATTTCAATGTGGGCAGTATATTATTTTCTTTTTACAACACTAAATAAAAATATATATAAACCCCCAATCCACCCAAAGCAGATTCATAGACTTTGGCTACTTCTTGATCGGCAATGACAACATCATCATCAAGTACAAGTAAGGCCGCAAGGGGGTAGAATCCGTTGCTTGTATGGATGGTATCGAATCAGCTAACTATTGGTGGAATATCTTTTATACGAAAAATTATTTAATTTAACTTAATAGCATTATGTCAAAGCACTTACGCTAAGACTATTATTACACAAAAAATCAACCAAAGCCCAAGAATCATCGAAGAAAAAAACCGCTTACTTGCATTCCAAGTCAACACTCTCTTCTCATCTAGATAACTTGTGGAACACGGACACATCAGGTATCGTCTCACATGTCACTCCTATTCCGAGTCCAGCAGCATTCCTCGCCAACATCTCTATCGGAAACCCACCAGTTTCGCAGCTCCTACTCATAGACACAGGTAGCGACCTAACTTGGACTGACTGTGAGATTCTTGATGCTTAATATTCAAATGTTTTATTTTACAAAAAAAAAATATTCAAATGTTTTTTAAACATATTTTATTGGTTTTTCGTTTTGCGCAAGACTCATTGTAATCTATAACATGTATTTGTATTCAAGATTAGAATAAGCCAAAAAAAAAAGGAAGAGTTCGAGTCGTGCAAAGACAGTATCACAGTTTTTTAGAAATGATAATTTAAGGACAAAACTAGAAAGATTGGTAGCTACAGGAATAACAGAGCTAAAGCAGAGGATTTTGTTTTTATGGAACTCTCAAGAAAACACGAACTTTTGGTAAGTTATATCAATAAATATCAGAATTGATAATTATCATACATGTCCATTTAGTTTTATATAATTAGATGTTTCCCTTTTTTATATATATAAAAAAAAGGAATGACAACAGGAGGATTTTATTTGATTTATATTCAAGATCAAACAATATCATTATAGTATTTCCGCGATTACACAATTTTTTCCTCTTATGAAACAATCGATAATCACACAGATAATGTTAGTGATATCTATAATGACAGAACTCCTCCTGGACAAGACTTCTGGTACCGGCTTCATTGTCGACAATGTATCAATACATGTATGCATATTTGGAAATGTACCAGCATTTCTCAGGTGTGAGAGGAAGTAGTCCTTGGCTGCCAAAGCTTTGAGGGAATCATCTATACCAGAAAGAGCACCTTCATATAGTTGTTCACAATCTTTCATTTTCCGCATATCTGTCGTGTGGCCTCTGAACAACTTTATTTGCTTCAATGTGTCTGAAACATTTCGAGACTGATACTCGATCAAATATTTAACGAGGCTAGGCAAATCCAATTTTGCAGCTTCAGGGGTTGCTTTTAGGATCTCAAAACAAAGTGAAGAATTGATTTGCATATCTTTCTTTGTGCAGATGACCTCGATCTCATCTTTTGTAACCATCATACTAGACCTTGCATATGATGAGACGACAAAGAGAAGTAAAACCACTATATGAGCCAATGAAAAGTTTTTTTTGACGTATACAACCATTTTTCTTGTTCTAATTGTCTGAGAAGTGAGAACTTCTGTGAGATTTATATTGACTGAAACATATCTTCAAATTTAAGTAATTATGTATTGCTAACAGATTTGTTATTTTCATTAATTAATGCTAACAGATTATGTACCTTCATAAAATGATTTGAATTATTAGCACCAAATCTCAAACGGTCAAAGCATGCAAATAATTTTTTTGGGTAGATTATTTCTAAAATTGCAGATTTTATTGATGTATTGATGTAAGAATATATAAATTAATTTGAATGAATCGCACAAAATTTTCAATGTAGGCAGTATATTATTTTCTTTTATTTATAAATATATATCCCCAATCCACTCAAAGTAGATTCAGACTCTGGCAACTTCTTGATCGGCAATGACAACATCATCATCGAGTACAAGTAAGGCCGTAAGGAGGTAGAATACTTTGCTTGTATGGATGGTATCGAATCAGTTATTGGTGGAATATCTTCTATCCCAAAATATTTGGTACGAAAAATGATTTAATTTGATTTAATAGCATTATGTCAAATCATTTGAGATTCTTCTTTCTAGAGTATACATGATAGCTTTGAAAATTTTAGATTTCATTTATGTAAAACAAAAAGCACAGAGTTAGGTCAAGTAGCACAAAATATTCATTTTAGGCACTAAATTGTCGGGTGAATATCTCAAAAGTAACACAAATATCTAATGCAAGACGAAATATGTAATATATGGAGGCTTACTTAAATGATGGATGAACTTGATCGACTGAAACAATATATTTTTGATTAGGAATTCGTAGATAACATTTTATAAAATAGATTTTAGGCTATATATTGATGTAAATCAATACATAGTCAATTAACAGCATCACACATAAAGACAACTTGATCAAAGACCAACGTCGTAAGGTACTCCAGTGGAGTTAATCCACAAATCTCCTTGTATAAATTCTCCCACCGTGAACATCTCCACTTCTTTGGGATCAGTAATCACTTTAAATCCCTTCCACTTGACCCGTTTGCTTGTATCGGCTCCTGGTCCTGTGTTTTTGTATTCCCGGTAAAACAAGGTGGAGAGACGTTTAACATCGCTGCTGTTCATTGGAGTATAACCCTCTGGTGCGATTAAATCGTCTATGAACGACTCCATAATAACCACCCTTGATAATATACCCCAGGGACGTCCTAAATACGTCTTTACCTTTCTTTTTATCGGAAGGAGATCTTGAGTTGCAGTGATATTGCACTTTTGGATCACAAATCCCGTGCTCTCCTCGGTCATGTTGTTCCATGACTGCGCTGTTATAACGTTGACCAATCCTCCATGCGGGTTTCTTGCCTCGATTTGACAGTATTGGAACACAGCCGTTGCGTCTCCGCAGATGAAATCTACGGTCCCGGTTATGTAGCATTCACGGTAATACTGCCGATATTTATACGCGTAGAGTGTGTCTTGAAACGCCTCAATACGGCACCTGTGTATAACCACCAAATCAGCGCTCACACGAAGAGCCACGGCTTGACCCTTGGCCGGACCGGCCGTATTCCGGATGCAAAGATCTTGTGCGAGAAACCCTATTGCATCAACGGCTGTATATAAAAACGAAAACGGACCCCATTATCAATTATCATTAGGGCTTTGAAAAATATGAATATAACTTGGAAATAATTAAAAGATTACCAAGAGTTGCAGAAGCCAAGGTGGTGTAACCATCTTTGGCGTTTAAACTTCCGGTGAGAACTGTAGAGTCCCTGCCGTCTCCTACGATGGTTAGATTCGTTTTCTCCTTGGTAATATTAACGACTTCATCGTAGATGCCTAGCTTCACGTAAATCACGTATCGCGTTTTGCTGTTCTCCGGCGCAGCCGCAACCGCCTCCTTCACGGTCTTGAACTTTCCAGTTCCATCCTTGGCAACGATAACGTCGGCGTTTTTCTTGAGCTCCGACAATAAACAGAGGGAATCCAATATATGAGCACATCTTCATTGATTAAGGAGAAATAGATTTTGGGGTTGAATAAAAAAATAAATCCATCTAAAAAATAATTATTGCTAGAGTGGTATTCGAGTTAGTTACATATTGCTATATTGATCTCTTTCAAAGCTGTAACTTAGTTAATTAATGTTAACGCCTAGAGAGTGGGAATAACAGAGAAAAATGCTGTTTCAATTAAAAGATATGTTTGTAACTTCTATACACATATAGATATATATAATATAATATATATGCTTCTTGTAAAGATGTATATATGTATATCGCAAGTTCAATTCATAGATATATAAAAATACGTTTCATGTTTATTAAGCTTGAAAATATAAACGAAAGAATTTATATAACCTCTGAAGTGGAGTCTAGAAGCAGCTTCTTGTCCACATCGCTTAGCCAAGTAGGGAAGTCATCGACCACCATCTTCAGCATGGAGGTTGATGATGGAAGAACAATCTCGCCTTCTTGATCCGTGAAAGAGATGACGAGGCAAGATGAGAAGGCTAGAAGCAGAAAGAAAAAAGAGATTTTTGTATGATACTCCATAGTAAGAGAAGAGGAAAAAGAAGGAGACGAAAGAAGAAGAAGGGTTTATGTGTTTAGCTCCCACTGTCTAGAGGTCTTTTTATGGAGACAAAAAGAACATCAAGATTTATGACGAGTGTGTATTATTTATTTCATTCTATTTGAAATTTCTTTTTGGTAATCTATTATATAATAAGAGAGTTTTCTTTCCATCTAAACTATCCACATCAGTAAACTCATAAAGCTTAACATTTAAGTATATTTAAAATATGCATTTAATAAATATATCAATGTTTGTTATTAATATATTTAGTATAAATTAAATTAAATTTAAAGAATTATAGTATAAATAAAAAATAAGTGATAATTAGATATTAATAATTAAAAACATTGTAATACTAACTGGATTAAAAAATATATATTTTTTTTAAAATGATAAATTATTAAATGGAAAAAATGTTTTAAAATGACGATAATTAAAAAAAAACAAAAATAATGAAAAATAATAAGAAAAATAGAAGGAAGAAGAAAAATCAAAATAATTAAAAAGATGAAAAATAACAGAAATTAAAGACCATCAAGAGGAATAAGGAAAAAAAAAAGAACACAAAGCTGATGAAAAAGAATTTTGAAAAATATGAAAACAAAGAAAAAAAGAGAATCAAAATATGAAAATATGAAAATGGAGAAGAAGAAAAAATTAACAAAAATAGATAAATATGATGTTTAAATTTCAAAAATTTGTAAGAATAAATGATTAAAAATTATTACTGCGCAACGTGTAACATAAACAAAAATAATAATTTTAATACTGTAATAAAAATCACACAATAGTGACAGACAAAATATAAAAGTATATGAAATAAAAAAAATTAACAGAAATTAATAACATAATTAAGAAATTTTTTATTATATACAAACACTAATAAGGATTGTACAATATAAATATAGAAAAAAATTATTAAACTATAAAACAATTATCAAACAAATTTTTTAAAAAAAAAAACATATAAAATTTTAAAACACATAAAAATATAAAATAAAATCCGCGTTTCGCGCGGACTCAACCCTAGTTAATACTACAATTCTGTGCTTTTCTTTTGATTTTTTTTATTTGTAGTTTTAGAGTAAAGTATAAAATAAAATATCAGCATCATTACTTCATAAAGTCTTAAATCATTTTCCGTCGTTCGCACCAATGTGGGTGATATATTATAAATGCTCACCAACTCGTCTCCTATAATTATTTCACCCCTTCATTTCTTTTTGACTTTAGCAAGAGTTCATCCCAATTTTGTGTCAGGGAAACGAAGAAGTCTTTAGAAAAAAAGGTTTTAAGGAAGCAAGCCTTTGTCAGTTTGTCTTACATATTAAAATATATTATTTTCTTTGCTTTAAATTTGTGTATTTAAAGACTTTGCAACATGTAGTAACATTTACTTCCATAGCCCTCTTTTGCATATTCTTTTATCTAGTATAGATCTTGAAAATTTGAAGAAAAACTCAAATGAATATTCATTTGTATAAGTATTTAACTATTTATATGCAATTTGTAGTAGCATTTAATTAGTTCCATAGACCTCTTTTGCATATCCTTTAATCTAGTATATATAGGTCTTGAAAATTTGAAGAAAAACTTAAATTAATAGTCATTTGTATAAGTATAACGTGTGTATTAGCATATCAAAATTTTAAAATATTAAATGAACCACGGGTTTATCGAAACAATATAGTACCCATATCTAACTGCTATCGGAACACTTATGTTATATATCTTCATCTTGCATGCATGCACGAATAAGAAATGCATGGAACTGAAGGATTGACGACAAAAATTTGAATACCCAAAAAAAAAAAAATTGAATACGTCATACAGGTGGATAAGAATACTGAATACAGTTAAGAATAATAAAATCATACATAAAAAAAAATATTATATTGTGTGTGTTACTTATATACAAACACAAGTATAACGTAGTGATTTTAGCAACAAAAAAAAGGTATAATGAAGTGGATGCATATATACATCCGAACTCATTATTTTACATAGCACCAGCTTTAGGCGATCATTTGTGCAATTTTTTAAAATGTGTATATTAATGAGATCACTTTTTTTTTCTTTAGGCGTGCGACCCTGAATTTATATGGCACCGCTTGCTGACTTACGTTATTCCAGTGCTCTACGTAATTCCATAATTCCATATGAGGAGTTGTCAGAAACAAATGGTAAGAAAAGTAAAGACCTAAGCAGTAAATGCCTTTCCAAGAAATTAATTATGAGAGCGGTAAGAACCGAGTAGAAAAAGCGTTGCCTATTAACACTTTCCTTAATTATTTATTTCCATGTTGATGGGGTGCAAATCTTACAGTCGATTATTTATTAGTTTTGTTGGTTTCACCTACAATCATCCGGTAATGAAAATTTTTTAGAAGTTTAAGGACATAAATATACTATTATGCAGGTGCATACGAAAATAAATATGCTAATCAAAACAAACTAGTTGATAAAAGTAACTTTGCGCGCATGTTTCTCTTTCATGTTAGAAGATAGTATTTGTTTGTACAGTTCTGAAGTTAGTGCATTAGGATTAAAGGTATTTGGTTGTAATAGAGCTGAGCTATAGCCTAGAGGGAGGAGTACATTCTGACATGTAGTTATTAATATCTATATGTCCAATGGAATATAGATCAAAGTAATAAAGAATGTCGTTGAAGCTTATTACTCTAATTGAAGTACGAAAATTATACTATAGCTTTTAAATTAATTTTTATCGTAAGAAGATTTTCTCTCACATAGTTTGAGTCTTTTTAAATTGAATAAGCACAATAGCGAATCCAGATGTCCTTGAATCATATAACTATATTGAATATTATCTCCTCAAATGAAGATTTAAAAAGAAATAAACAAAAAATAACTAATTATACAAACTGCATTATTCCTTTTTACTCAGACAAAGCTACTTTTTTTTTTAATTATTACTGCGTATTACAAAAATAACAATAATAATATTACAAAATCTCATTATTATTTTTCTTCATCTCCTTTGTCCCATAGCAACCACTGGGAGACTCACTTTATGCCCTCGGCTTCCTTTTAATGTAACCTCTCCGAAGCTATAACCTCCGGTCACCGATCTCACTGTTAGAGTCACCAAGAAGTTTCTAGAAGCGCCCGCTCTAAGTGTCATTGCAGGAGGACTCACTTCGATGGCTATGGATGGCTCCATTCTTGATGTGATTGTGTATGTTTCTTCCTCTTCTGCAACATTCGTCACTCTTCTGGTTACGGTTTGTGTTCTCACAAGATGAGAGATGGCTATGGATGGTGAGTTGAAGTTTGAAGGATGTCCCATTTTGAAATTGCAGGGAGTGTTTGTGAAGTTCCTTATCTCGTGGGAATCGATACCAGGAGTGGTGCACAAGAAACCTAAATAGTCCTCATAACCTACAAGAAACCCCAATCATACAGTGTATAGGCTTATTAATCGAACGAAGCCGAACCAAGTAATAGTTCAAATGTGCGTCATATTGATCAAAGAACAATGAGAGAATAGAGAAAACCGAGGTTTATGTCATTTGAGTAAAGATAATTTACCTGCATCAAATATGAGACCAGGGTCTAGAGCAGCACTTGGATTGACATGACCACTTCCATAATCAAATGGAGTTGCTTTGACAAGCGTCACTGTCTCTGTTTCAGAGTATTGCTGTGCTTGAAGAGGCCTTCCTGCTCGATCTATCACTGTTGAGGTTGTCATCAAAGCTGATTTAATAGCAGCTGGACTCCATTGAGGATGTTTCTGTTTCACCAGAGCAGCTATACCGGCAATGTGTGGTGCAGCCATGCTTGTGCCAGAAATTAGTGCAAATCCTTCGCCTGCTCAATAGTCGAAAACTAAACGTTTTAGATTCTTGCTCCAAAGTACTTGTGTATAATTCTAACGAGATTTGAGAAAATGCTTACCGACATAGTTAGCCTCGTCTGTTCCATTTTCAGACCAAGCAGACCATATAAGAGAGCCTGGAGCAAGAATATCTGGTTTGAGGAGATCAGCATCCTGAAAGCTGAAATCTTTAGTGTTGGGTCCTCGAGCTGAGAACAAAGCCACTTCAGGTGCGGATTTGTGAAGAATGGGTTCCAAACCGTCTCCGATGCTTCCTTCAGCTTTAAAGCTCTTAACCCTTCCCATCCAATCTCTCGAGGTCGTGACATTGTAGTAATCAATCAAATCCTAGGGAAGAGAAAAAAGACATTCCAAGTTGAGGAAAGGATGAGGGAGTTAATTAACTGATTAGTGAACGCGTCGAAACTGTATTACCATAGACTTAGAGACATCTGTAATCAGAATTCCTGGAATGCAAGAAGGAACAGGATCGAATTTCGTTCCTGGAGACACATTTTCGACAACAAGAACGAAACCAGCAGCTCCTAGATGCTTGGCAGTTTCAGCAACTTTCTTGATGGAAGCTGAACCAGCAACAAAGTTGAAAGAATATCCACAAAGCAGAATGTTTCCTTCAACCAATTTTTTGTTCAAGACTTCTGGCCTCTGGCAATCCGACGGATTGTATTTCATACCAGAAGAACCAAGCAGAACATCATTTGCAGAGACCATCTTGTACGAACGATGAGGCCGAGTAGAAGCTGCAGAAAAACAATATAAAGGCTCAGAATAAACTAAGACCATCTCTTTATATATACGATATTATTGTGTGGATCTATATATATTTAGATCAGAGAAAGGAGAAACTTACGGGATAATCCCATTCCGGCAAGCATTTTTCCATTTCCAAGGGTCAGATGGTTTTTGTATCTGCGATCATCAATTGCAGCAGCTACAGTAGTTATCCAAGGGCTATATGAAACCAGAGTTTTCGGAAAGGGACCTCCGTTTCCAGCTGCTTGAACGACAAAAACACCAGCTTTTACAGCCCCAAGAAGTGTAGCATCGAATGGATTTAAGAATGTTGTCTTTGTAGTAGCTGGAGGACTGTTTGGACCAACCGAGAGACTCAAAATA